TCTCGCATTTCACTCCGACACTAACCCCTCAGTCTATTCATGCAGTTGCTGCATCCAGAAAGACAAATATATCCTCGTATAATCGGTTTTCGGTCACATAAGAAATCCCGCCGCGTATTTCAGACGATGCATAATAAATCTTGATATTGTCTATCTTACCCTTGAAAGTGGTTATTTATTGACAACATAAATAAATACGATAAGATTACCTCGTGTTTCAACACTTCTGTCGGCCGCTAACTTTGCTGTCCAAACATCGCTGCATGGAAGTGACGTCATCAGTTTTCGTTCAAATGATTGGTCGGCTGTTTTAAGGTTTACAGGAGGCGGTATAGCGGTGTGGCAGGGACATAATTTTATAGGATGCTGGTGTCAATCAAAAAGTCTCAGCCATATCTATACAAGTTAACATTCGTCGGACACAGAAACGAAGAAAGAATAATTCAAAAATATTTCACAAGAAAAGTCCCATGTACATCACTGGCATGATAAATAATCTTCACAAGTTATTCCTCCTTCTCATCATGACACGGACACCAGAATTCTGACGTGGCACGAACAACTCTTACGGGTGTGCATACTTTCAGGTGAACCCAGTGTTTGCACGATGGGTGTGTGCATTCTGCCCATGAGACAAACACGATGCTCTGGCATCCTTCGAGTTCCTGTGGTGTAAATCTGTGACACTGACAGCAAAGTTCATCATCTGTGATCTCATTTTCTTCGTCAGAAGAATCAACGACGGGATCGATTCTACGGGAGTAAATGCCTGATGTACCTGGCTGAGGAGACGATGATTTATCTGTCATGGTGTTTTGTCTCGATTTTGGTGTTTTATTTGCAGATTTTCTTTTCTTCACAGGGGGATTGCTAACTTGATGTTCTCTAACTTTCTCCATAATTGAATCCTCTGTAATGGCCTTGCCACCGACGACCGCACTAAGAACTTTCCTCTTCTTTGTAGACTGTGATTTATCAGTCAAAACGCTTTGTTTTGAAAAAAGAAAGTTCTTGACAGACGATGTTGTTGTTTTGTCGTTAGAATTGTCGACACGTTCGGATCTATCAGCGTCTTCACATGGGGTGTGAAAAACAGTTGAAGGGGCAAAGTTAATGCGACTTACAGTACTGTTATCAAATGGATAAATCCCACACGTCTTGAACGATGACTGTAGATTGGATGGAGTTAATGCCAAGGAGTACGCTTTACATGCCAGTTCACAAACGGAATGTTTTGCAACAGCAACGATGGAATTGTTCCTCATGAATTTATGTCGGAGATTGTTGTAAATCTTGGAAAAAGGTCCAAAACAGCAGACGTCCAAAGGTTGTAAGACATGTGACGTGTGCGCCGGTAAAACAAACAATATAATGTTGTGTTCACGAGCCCAGGTTATCAGTGATAATGACACATGCGATCTATGTCCATCATAGAGAATAAGCAAGGGACGATCAACAGACGCTGTGACGGAATTCTTCAGGAAATGGTGTTCAAGATATTGACGAAATATTTCGGAATTCGACCATCCAGAATCAGAAACGGTTCCGGCTGCTCCTGGTGTCGATCCTGTCATGTTTTCTTCACGCATTCTTTTCCCCTTGAAAACAAAATACGGGGGTATTACGGCGCCTGAAGCACTACCGCACCCTATAATCGTAGTAGTGCTAGATCTCGGACAGGTGACAGCATATGGGGTGGCCTGACTTGACGATACCACAGACGGAGGAGTGTGGTTTTCCACAATTCCCTTCTCATCAATGTTGTATATCCGATGTGGGTTATCCTTCAAGTTGTACTTGTCAAGAATCTGTCCAAGTTCTTTGAAGTAGTGTCCGACCGTTTCCTTGGACGTAGCCTTCGCACGCTGTAACTCAAGTGATCTTGGTTTTTGGACTTTGAGATCAGGCCAACGCGACAAGAAATTATAAAACCATTGCATAGACAGTGGTTTGTCGGTTTTGGATTTCTTCCCCAGATGAATTGCTAAATCAGTAGCAAGGTCGGCAACTTCAGAACGTGTATATCCAAAGCCAAAATCGGCCATTGCTTGAATATGAACAACAAGATTTCTCTCCTCTTCGATTGACAACAAAGGCTCAGGACCAGACTTTAAACACTCCATTCCAATATTCCCACTAGTACGGTCACGGAGAGTAGCAAAGGGAACAGAAAAGTTTTTAGCAGCTTTCCTAACAGACATTCCGTCAATAACGGCTTCATAAGCATTTTCCAAAGCCTCAGATGAATATTGGCGGTATTGTCCCCTTCCAGTATACTGGCCATTCGTCAAAACCTAAACAAAATATATGATGCTATTAATCTCTGTTCAGAAACAACGATTTGCTGTTTTTCGAAAAACGATAAGAGATGACCCTTCCCATCTTCCATAGATTTTTTTTACGATGGCAATGTCACGTGATATATCATGTGACAAAATGATGACAAGATGTAAACAAGCAGACGACGAGTTACTGTGTAATTTACAAGCTATGATTTATCAAGATGTAGCATTTATTTGCAAGTCACTTTTTTACATTAGTAATCTCAGTCGTAAAATAGGAGTTTCACATCTATTTATTGATATTTACCTTGCTGAACTTGACACGAAGCATTTTCGTAGTCCGAGCGATAGAATTCCGACTCTCGGCTGAATGTATCTGCCTGATGTCGCGAAATCTCGTAGCGTATCGTGAAAAAAACTTATACAAAATGGCTGACCGAAAACCGATTCCGAACGAAAACATATGACGGTGGGATAAAACCATCAAATGACACACAATGTGGTCACATTAATATCAAATAGTAACATGTACATAATTCATACTTTCACCAAGATGATCATACTGTCATAATTTTGGGTGTATACTTCCAGCAAATATGAAAATATCATACGGTTTATCACCTCTGGAATTCAGGCTATAGTTTCGGAAAATATCAGTATATTCTTTAATTATATCATGATTAATGGCAAAATCAGCTGGCAGGTATCTCTGTAATGGCAGCAGATGAGGCAAAACGTTGCATCATATTGGATGTATGTGTTGTTAGGTATTGTTTGTATTAAGGCAAAACATGTTGTGGCTCAGACAAGTAGCAGACTGCTACAAGGGATGTTTCATCTTTACCCATTGTGTCAGTTCCGTAAATGCAACCAAAAGTGATTGTGGTTACAAAATCTGACTTTCAACTAATCAAAACATGACAATCACGTCATTATGTTGATTCGTATAAAAGGACAAATTATATTACCAACACTGTGAACATTACCTCTTCCCAGTAGTATACTGCACAAAAGTAGTTAGGGATATATGTAAATTTTGAAATTATGTTAATGATGTATATATTCATTGACACATTCATAAAATATCAATCATAAAAGTACCAATGTCCCTAACTTAATTTGTCTAGTATATCAATGAAGTCTGTCTTCCACACCATACAAAATACAAGTCAAGTCTAGATTACCTCAGCTCTAGGGAAATAAGAATTTCTCCTTTTAGATTAATTCTTTTTCATTTTTAGATGCATATTTAGAAATAAGGTAATTTTATGTCTGGGGTTACATGTCAGACTACTAAGCAAGGTGTACGTCTTTGTCAGTGGTGCTAACAATTGTAATTAATTGATCAATCATTTGAAACCAAATGTATTTAATAAACAACAGTATATTTTCTTGTCAACAACAATGACTACTTATTTCATACAGATAAGTCATATTATGGGTGGACTAAAGATTTCATATGCTATATTTTTTTTATACTTACATGTATCCTATTACCCTATCCTCTTATGCAAGGTATTATTCTTGTCTGATATGTTGAGTTGAGTAGGGCTTTACGTCACATCGGCATTATTCCAGCCATAGCGACGAGATCAAGTGTGCATTTACAAACAGTTTAAGTACACAGTCCAAATGAGGTTTTTTTTCAAAATCTTACATACTCATTACATCATCATTTGAAAACAGCAAATGCCATAGCACCAAATTCAAAAGCTAGCAATTCGTTTGATATGACAATATGACACCGACATAGACATTAAGCACGAGATAAATAAACTCCCCAGCATTGAAAACGCACCTCTTACAAAAGTTGAAATTACAAAAGTCATGTGTAAGCAATTGATATTTTTTAGTGGATAAGATGGACAACTAACAAAAAACAATAACAACGCTCATTCATTTAATTGTTTCACAGTCACAAAGGATCAAACACATGTGGGGTCAAATCGAAATTTGCATTGACACATGCAGTGCAACATCTCCTCATTGAGTCAATAAGCCTACAAATAGTGTTGTGGGGGATGGCATTACACTCCTGCAGTAGTGCAGTCCCAAGTTCCCGGTTGTTTCGCATCTATTGTCGACGCGAAAGATGTTGACTAATTTCGTCCCACAAGTGCTCAATAGGGGATAAATCTGGTGACAGTGCTGGCCGATGAATTACCGTCATGTGTTGCTTGGCCAGATACTGCACGGAAAGCTGTGTGTGTTCGTGCATTGTCCTTTCGAAAAGTATGGACTTCTTGGTGGTGATTGAAGAATGGTACGATGTCATTCTGAAGCATCTTGTCACGGTAGTAAAGGGCATTAACTCTACCTTGACAGACATGAAGGGCAGTCCTGTGATTGCAACTTATTCCACCCCAGACCATGACACTTGCACCTCCCCAACGGTCTGTCTGAGCCACACACCCATAAACATAATGTTCACCACGTCTACACCAAACACGTAATCGGCCGTCAGCATTACGTATGTTCAAACGTGACTCATCAGTGAATGCCACACCCTGCCATTGTTGTAACCTCTATTGAACATGCCCATTGTATACGCTCATTAAAGTTTCTGTCAGTCAGAATTGGTCCAATGTAAGGACGTCAAGCATGGAGCCCTGCAGAGTGTAGACGGCATCGCACGGTGTTGGCACTGAACTAGTGCAGCAGTCAAGTGTTCAATCATAAATATGGTCACAGACAATATGGCGATCCTGACGGCGTATTTCACAAGGTCACGGGTGATGGCTGACTGCTGATGTTGTCTATGAAGCCTGCGATGGCCATGAAGCGACTTCATGTTAGTTATACTCATTGATAATTGTCATGCTGAAATCCATTCTGATGAAAATATGGAGAATGTGAGACTGGTGCGTTTTCAGTGCTGGTGAGTATATATTTAGTAACAAAGTTTCAATTCAAGCAATCATTCCCTTCACAGATTGATTTCCACTCAGCTTTAACATTGTTTAAACGTTATCTTAACTACATACAAAATCATGCCCTACCCAATAGTTTATCACTTCAATTATATAATTTCTGGCTTTTATACATCTTTCAACAGCAAACACTTTGTTGTAAAATGGAGTCAAATCATTTTAGCAAAGTTAGTACAAGAATTGCCTAAATCCACCAAGATTGATACAGTGAATATCAAAACCCTCAAATATCAAAACCCAGTAGTTTTATGTCCTACTTGATCAAATGTTAGCCAAGTGGTAACGAGACTGAGTTTTGTAATGATGTCCTAACCCCAGCAAATCCCTGCAACATACATTCTTGTGAAAGAATTTTGTAAACTATTTATGCTTACCATCATCTATAGCGTTTAGCATCTTCCCCATGACTGTGACTTCCCGTATACCCATTGGGCACTGGTAAGTTGCTTTGTTTATTCTGGCTTCGTGGCCCATGTGTTCAAGAAAGGCAGCTTGAGCGGTGGTGCTCATGTCCAGACTGGCGTAATAGCTGGAAATTCTGTGGCGATTCTGGGTGGCGTTCACCCTCACGCCAGCCGGCGAACAAACATCCCTAACACAATGCCACCCAGAACAATGGCTATTTGACCCCTTCGTCGCAAAGAGGAATATGTTTGAGTCACTAACTCCATTTTCTCCTCTTCGATTCAGAAGTATTTGGACTGCTTCAGTGACAGCCTCTGGAATCAGGACTGGTACAAACTTTCTTCCCTTTCCTATTGAAAAAAGATTTTGAGAACAGTTGGTTAATAAACTGGTTAAACAATGTAAAAGTTAAGGCAATTTCGAGTATTGTAAAAATCAAACATTGAATATAATATTCCATGAACATTATTTTGATATGATTTAGAAGTATAAACTTTCTTTTAAAGGCTAGATGTACAAAGACTTATGACATAAGCACACATTTCCTTTGTCAAGCTGAGCATAATACTTGTGCATACCAAACCTCTTTTACACCATTGCCATGATCAAAGATTTGATAATTTCTATTCATTCTATTGATGAATAAATTCATGTAAGTAGTTGGGTAGGTGACTTGTAATACCAGGCTACCCATCATCGTCCTTCACCTGCGAAAAGCATGGTCTTCGTGGTCACTTTCTGAAGAACCCCTACCTAGAGATGGGCAAAGACTAAAATGGGGTCAAGTGTCTCAGAATTCAGAAACAAAGAAGAAAAAGCAACTTTTTTGTTATAACAGTTGGGACAACACCCATCGATTAATACATGAGCACCACATGCTAAGCAATTGCTGTTCTTCAAGACCATTCAGATAGGTGTTGTTGGCAAATGCATCACTGATATGTTGTGCCAAGTAAACCAGCTGTTCCCTATGTGTCTGACTTCAGTTACTTCTATTGCTAAGCTACTTCAGATCTGCTATATGAAACTGAACACTATCTATGTTGGAATAAGCATAATGCCATGCTCATTCTAGGAGCCTTACATGTCAATATGGATGCCAGTAATTAAGCTGTCAAGTCATCATCCTCAAGCCAACTTCACATGTACTATACAGCCGACTGAGTAGTCAAGTGTGTCACCTAGTCGCAGTTTCAAGCTATGGATTTACCAATGAGAGTCATGACTATCGAGCCATCTCACGCCATGTATAGATCATCTACCATATGCCCAAAGGTGAGTGAGTGAGTGAGTTTAGTTTTACGCCGCACTCAGCAATATTCCAGCTATATGGCGGCGGTCTGTAAATAATCGAGTCTGGACCAGACAATCCAGTGATCAACAGCATGAGCATCGATCTGCGCAATGGGGAACCGATGACATGTGTCAACCAAGTCAGCGAGCCTGACCACCCGATCCCGTTAGTCGCCTTTTACGACAAGCATAGTCGCCTTTTATAGCAAGCATGGGTTGCTGAGGGGCTATTCTAATAGACCCGGACCTTCACTGGTCTATGCCCAAAGGCCAAGTTAAGAAGCAACCTGTTGAGATTATAAGGTTGGCTTGATTGATTATGACTGATCCCTCACCCACTGGATTCGATATGCACCTGCTAATATTCAAATCCTGGCTTATGTCTTATATGGCCAACCAGGATACAATTAAGGGGGATGGACTAAGATTCCAGTAAATGATTCTGTTTGCAGTGTACACAATTTGCTGTTAGTGCAACCATCAGCTGCTCATACGTCGTCATCATCATCAGCAGGGCAAAAAGCACTACAAATCTGCGACACGGTCACATGCTTGGACACAGTTCTGAGGTCAAATGTATCAATGCTTAGACCCAGGGAAGTGGAGAGAACTCGGTCCTGGTATATTTCCATCAGGTGACAATGAACTGTGACAGCCTTCATTTGTTTTAATTCATTAAAGAAGTTAATTACCTCGTGTAGAGTCTCAAGCTATTGCGGAAGTTCAAATAGACAGGTGGCCATAGACCAGTTTCCTAACAAATGAGTCAACTCAATCAACTGCGCAGGACTCTTATGCATGCATTCTGGGAGCCTGACGATCATGAACTAGCCAGGGCGGTTAAAAGAGTCTCAATTAAGAAAGGGTAAATTCAAGACAGGAGAGAGGATAGTTGATATCCACTGTATTCTTTTACAAATATTCAGTCTGTGCATCTCCGCCTGCTTTACCAGAGACACTACCCTACAATCTGCTTTCAGTAGGACTGAGAAACATTTTGATAAACTTTGAAGTCCAGTTATAGTCAGAAGGTTTACCTGGCACAAATGAAACTGAATAGACCACTGAAAAATGTAATTGCAGATGCCACACCTTTGGAAGCTTGGCTGACCATTTCATCAGCATTGTCTCACTGTGAGTAGGGCAGCTCAAAGGTGAAAGGCTGGAATTATAATATGATGTGGACTTGATATACAGTCCAGTTGAAGTGATATCATCAGGATGGGAAAGGATGATATGATTTCAAGAAATGGTGACATCAGAAATTTTCCACAGTGATGGCCTAATAGATGTTTTAGTTCTCGGTCCCAACAGATGGAACAAGTGAAAATATCAGCATATATAGTGGTTTAACACACATCGTTTGATTCATGCAATTCACATGAGTTTAAGTCCTTTTGCACTTGTGCTACCTATTTGGATTCAAAGTATCAGTTCACAAACCTAATTTAATAGGTATCAAGGTATATCCTAGTTCTGATGTAATAAAGGTTTGGCAATGATGTAAAAGAGGCACGAATTCTCAAACAGCAGTTATCATTTTAATTTTTATAGGAACACTATATTACATCAGAAGTACTCACATCCATCTCCCTATTCATCTGCACCTAGTTAACAGGTATTGAAAATAGTGAGGTCCACTTGATTGTCGCATGAGTGAGAGTTGTATGATACTATGTACTCCTTAGAGTAGATGTATTACTATTTATTGATAGTTGGCAGTGATTTTAACATAATTGAAAACTGAAGATTTAGTTAAAGTGTTGACAACCAATCTGTTGGATTATGTCAATGATGTAATTGAGGTAATATTCTTACAATCATTAACATTATGACTCATTATGTTTTTATGGGCATTACCATGAAGATACGCCAATCTAAGATATTTCTCAGCCTCGTCCTCCACGTGATCTGATGGTATCCAAGTACCGTCAATAGCGTCCTCCCATTCTTTCACCAGCATGCGGGATGGCTCATCCCCACGCCTACCATTATAGAGGGTGAGTCTCGCAACCACAAGTGACCGCAATCATGTATCATGTTTTTACATGGAACGATTTGTTGTAAGAAATGCGTGTTATTTCACTTGTAATGTAATCTTTCAAGATGTTTAAAGCATCTTTGTCGGGTAGATTAGTGGGTCTCCTTGCTTTGTCTAGCGAGTTAGCTATCTGGCAATATCTTGACTTTGAAAACATTTCGTGAGCACGAAATCCATAAGCATATTGGAATTTTTCCAATTCCTTAAGTTTTTTATCCTGCATGGTTTCTGTTTAAAACCTTTCAGGCTTTAAATTGTTCTTTGTATAATGGCATTTAAATTTACTTTTAGTTCCTGCTTTTCTTGACCATTTTCCTCCTGTGTGTGCATTTCGATGGCTTCACGCAAGTTTGGCAAATTTGTCCTAAAGAACATGTCCTCCGGAGTAACAGGCTCAGTACACACTGTTTTGAACCGTAAGAAAAGCCTTGACAGCTCTCGCATTTCGGTCATTGGACATTTTTTTTCTTCTTCTTTCTCTGATATTTCCGATTTCTTCAAACAAAAGTGGCGATACCCGACCTGTTGGATTAGCCAATCAGTCCGACAGAGTTCACCTACTTCGGTGTTTCTAAATTTAAGCAATTTTTTTTCTCTGAAGGTCGAATCCTTGAGTCTGATACTGCCAGATGTTTTATAGGTATTGGTTCAGCAACATAATTTGAGCACGTTTCCTTGTGTTTATAGAATGTTCTGTCGGACAGAAACTTATTGCATGCAGTGCACATCTTAAGGTTGTCTTGTATCTTGGGTTGTCGTTCTCTCATGAATTTCGATGGATTTTTAACTTCTTCATTTTATATTAAGTTCAAATTGAATGCAACCATGCCTTCTCTTCGTTTATGATAAAAAAACAAACACTGCCTGTTCCTTTTCAGATTTGGTTAGGATTTCTTGTAGCTCCTCTTCCATTTTGTGTAGTCTTTGAATGTGGCGTCTTACTTTCCCCCAAAAAACAGTCTTCTTGCAATAAATACAGAATCTGTCTGGTTTCTGTGAAAGAAAAACTTATATAAAGTGTACTGTAAAAGGTACAGTGCATGTAGGATAAGATGCAAAAAGACAAATATTTTTGAACATGTGTCTCATTCTCCACCCAGAACTACATTCAAATATAATAAAAAATATGAGGACTATATATCCAACTCTGAGCTAAGTCCAGTTCAAAGTACATATTCAACTACTGTCTGCTAAATATGCATATGCGTTGAAATTTGAGCATTGTTTTTCATTTTGTTTACAAGTTCAAAGAAGTCATGAGTACTCTCTATGTGATCCGGTGCATTCAACATTATTGTCTGTTTTTCCTGCTTATGACTTCCAATAATAATTTAAAAATCTGCTCTTTTGTTATATCAAATAATATTTACATTATACCTAATAATTCTAAAGTTTGCTTTGTCCCTTTTACAAAGGAACCGTGAGACCTACTTTCGTTGCATATCAAATTTCATGTGTTGCTCATGCAATGTTATCAAACTACTGTTGTAACTGTAGTACTGTTCTAAACTGGGTTGTTCTCTGCTCATATTCTCAATTGGTTACTGTCACAATCAATTATAACTCTATGTAATAAATAAATAAACATTTAAATTTGAATTGTTTTCGGTGTTCGTCACTTTCATCCTGCAATATTTCTGAGAGATATTACTTTTGTCTTGTATGATTATTGTACTTGTACTACGACATGACTCACTTAATGAATATAATTTTCTTGTTTGAGTGGCATTTAGAAGTTGGTGTGATGAACAACGAGGGGAGTTCTAGGGATGTACAACTTCTTTAATAAAATATGAGCGACATTTCGGTGTAGCTATTAACACCGTTATCAAGCAAATGTTTCAGACTATTGTTGTAACTCACGACCTGTCCCTATGCTTAACTGTGACGTTGCAATATTGTTGCACAAATGTATTGCAAGGGGACCGTACTTGCCTCATATTATTATGGTTTTGTAAGGCTTCAGTGCAGTGTTGTTTACATTACGGAAATATATTATTTTTATGCTGTCATTTTTAATTTTGAGGAATACTGTGGTTTTTTATTTATTTAATTTTATTTTATTTATTTTATTTATTTTATTTATTTTTATTTTTTTTTTTTTTTGGGGGCTCCCTTTAAAAGGAGCCAAAAGAATTTACAATTACTATGGGTGGGAAAAGGACTTTTTTCGGTCTTTTCCTCCTTGCTGTTGATGTTCTTCAACCGCTACACGCATGTCAATGTAAGTATATCATATGCATTTCCTCATCAAAATTATGCGTGTTGGGTGTTTGGTGAAAAGCAAACATGGCAGAGCAGATGTTCGAGGAGATATCGGTTTCTAGTCGGTGGGCGGGACATGGTGACCTTATAGACGGATAGAACCTGTGAAAGAAAAACTTATATACAGTGTACTGTAAAAAGTACAAGAGCAGTACATGTAGGATAAGATGCAAAAAGACAAATAGGTTTGAACATGGGCCTCATTCTCCACCCAGAACTACATTCAAATATAATCAAAAATATTAGGAATATATCCAACTCTGAGCTAAGTCCACTTCAAAGTACATATTCAACTACTGTCTGCTAAATATGCATAGGCGGTGAGATTTGAGCATTGTTTTTCATTTTGTTTACAAGTTCAAAGAAGTCATGAGAACTCTCTATGTGATCCGGTGCATTCAACATTATTGTCTGTTTTTCCTGCTTATGACTTCCAATAATAATTTGGCGGTATCTTGGAAATCAGCTCTTTAGAGTCTTCAGGCAATACTTATTTTCTCAAACCTATAACAATAAATTGAACATTACACTTCTTGAATTGAATAAGCTATCCGAACTTCGTAACATCCGACCAGGGCATATCATCACATACCACTATGAAAGAAAACAAATCGCTTGTCAGTATGTTTTAATTCGAAACTATAATCCGTTATCAGTAGTGTTTAGTCGTAACAGTGAGTGCTTCCTAATTAAATCCTTCTTAATTAATCCTAATTAAATAACAAACAAGTGACACCTTAGCCCTAATTAGTTTACACTACCGCATCCCTTTGATTCATGCCGCACCGCGTGTAAGCGTGTGTAAACAACCTCAGTTCAGTGGGATACTTGCCCATGAAATGTAGGTGAATATCGAGTTTCTTTGCAAATATCGAGTTAAAAGGGTAATTTTGCTTGTTGGGACCATGAAATTATATCGAGATTTCCAAAATATCGAGACATCCGTATCGAGTAAAAAGAGCTTGAATAATGATAAACTATGAAGGATTTTGCCGTGACCGAGATGTTATATCGAGACAATCGAGATATCAGAGTTTGACACAACGGTGCTCGACTGTATATTAATATTATCAAATCAAGTAAATAACATACGCAAATGTTCGTCTAAACAAAAACGTATTTTCGTTGTTAACAGTTGCTGAAATGATCCTAATATGTGTCATGCAAAGGAAGGAGACCAAACAAATATAAAACTGATGTGTAAGTGAGTTTAGTTTTACGCCGCTTTTTAGCAATTTTCAAGCAACATCACGGCGGGGAACGCCAGAAATGGGCTTCACACATTGTAACCATGTAGGGAATCAAACCCGGGTCTTCGGTGTGACGAGCGAACGCCTTATCCATGAGGCTACCACACCGCCATTGAGGTGTCAGGGGTTTTGGTTGCATATATTACACTACCCGGCCCAAAATCTAACCGACAAGATTCGGATTAGAATTGGTCATCATCAACCCATGCTTCTCGTAAGAGGTGACAGACGGGATCGGGTGGTCAGACACATGTCATCGTATCCCAAATGCTCAACATGATGATCATTGGATTGCCTGGTCCATTCTCGATTATTTACAGACCGCCGCCATATAGTTGGGATATCGCTGAGTGTGGCGTTAAACAACAGCAAACACATTTTAAGTTTAAGACAAAAACGAAATTTCATATCATTCCAGGCTTGCGGCTATCTTTGATGTTTCCAAGGCAACCAGTGGCAACATTACATGTAGAAAAACTTCGTTTACATGTATACATATTAGTTGTAACTGATATAAAGATGAACAAATACTTCTGAGGTATTTTGTTGTTAGTAAGATGCAGTACCTGATCACTGGATTGTTTGGTCCAGACTCGATTATTTACAGACCGCCGTAATATAGCCGGGATATTGTTGATTGCGGCGTCAAATAACATTCAAGCCAACTTACTATGGAAAAACCGACAGTCCTGCTTGAATTTTTATTCTTTCTCAGGAAGATCCTCAGTTTGGAAAAAACATTTATGAGTATACCTGGAATGGAAATTATGACTTCTTCAAATGGACTTCTTCAAATCTTGACAGACAAGCCAAGTAATTTAATTAATTTAATGTATTGACACCGTCCTTGAGAGATACTCTTCTTTTGCATTAGATCTCTGATGTAGCATCTAATACGGTATCACAGATTTGTTGAGGGCTACGTTAGCAGTGGCAGCCATGGTGATACCTGGACTTCCAACCTGACTCAGTATAACCAACATATGGTCTTATTTGCCATGAGCAAGATTGTGGAGTTCTATAATTTCACATAAATGTAATGTCAGGAAATAGTTATAATTGCCTGAAGACAGAACATGTTCGTGTTCAGAGTGAAACCTTTTATGATTGCCGTGTGATCTGGTAATATTGGATGTTATTTTTCAGAACAAATGACAGTGGCGATGACAACTGAGTCACCATCCTGTGAGAAATCTGCTAATCTAGATTTTATTAGTCTCATGTGTTTCGTAACATGTGTTTTCTTGTTGATATGTAAGTTAATTTGTTTGAGATTTCTGTATTTTAGTTACTGTAGGGTCCTCTGTACGAACTACCATGATGAAGAAGACAAAACTTGGGTATGGGCTATATTTTCAAGACCTACATGTATATTAGCAACAGAAATATCAGCTAGTATCATTATTCCAAGTGGTGGAATATGGTTTCTTCTTGTGGAGTTCTTCATATTGACGCTACGTGTATGGCTGAAATTCTGCCCATGTAACTTAAAGTCGTTACTCATTCACTCACTCTGGGCAAAACGTCATTTCGACATCGATAGACGCGTACTCTTCCGTTACAGCACTGATGCAGAAAGCGTGATTCATCATTGAACCATACACGTCGCTAGATTCCAGAATCTTGACCCGTCGACGTCGATGTAGTCTTCGCTGCACAGGGCTAAAATGGGGTTTTCTGGCTCGAAGTGCAGCTTCTCGTAAACGACTACGTCAGTATCACGTATGCGTTTCTTTCTTTAGGAGAGTATATGTAGAAAAAAATCACCTTTAACTGCTAGATACTAGGGCTGCGCAATATAACCGGTTTACCGGTATTTACCGGTTCAGACATGAAAACGATACGTATTGCGATACGCTCATCGAAAACCGGTATTTTGACATGCATTCGAAAACTTCGTAACACTCGAAAATCTTCGGATATTTCCGTTTTTTAAATTGTTCCTTTCCTTGTTTCATTTGTGGCAAACGTTATTTACATTTATATTTTGCCATGATTAAAAGTTTTTTTAAAGCCTAATCAAGCATTGTGATTTTGTTGTGTTTTTGCTTTACAAATCAAGCATTAACTCGATTATAAGTATTGTTTTTCTTAAAAATAATTCTTGCAATATATTGCAATACATATCGCAATACATGCTTTCGCATCGCAATATATCGCAATACGAAAATTCCCTGCAATACCCACCCCTACTAGATACGGCCCATCATCAAGGACTTTGTCGTGGATCTTTCAGAACAATGGGCCATCTCTTGCCGCCGTATACAGTTATACTTACAATATTCCACAAACGTATATTCAAAGGAGTCCAACCTTATATACAGCTGTGTGTTTAATTCTGTTTACGGCGATCTTTACAAGGAATCATCACCTATTCCACCTCTGGGAATATGAACTTAACCTATAATTTTTGCTGCTAACTTTGAATTTGAAACTCTATTTCCTGCTGTCTTCTCCTTCGAATTACCGACCAATTTCACTAACGAGCTGCTTTACTAGACCATGAAACGCATGACCAATAATCGATTCGTTTGGTATTTAACAATATACTTACTGACATTTTTCTTACTGACATACATTGTGGTTTTTGTAAAAGCCGAAGTACCATTGATCATTTAGTGCGATTAGAATCATTTCTTCAAAAATGACATTATTAAAAATCAACATGCGGTGTCTAATTTTCTGTTCAGAAACAGCACACGACACAACCTGGAAACACGGAATTTCGAAAGATATTTACGATTTGTATTGCGAGGCCGTTTGCCTCAATTAATATCCAAATTTTTACATGGCAGACAATTTCAAGTCCGCGTGGAGCCCCAACTAGGCTTTTCTCTTCTCCACCGTTGCAGTTGGTACGGCAAAAGGTGGACCTAACATTAACTAAACTGAAGAAATCTGAAACAAACTAACTTACTTACCTAATGAATAATATACATATAATGAATTAAGATACTTACCAACCAATCGTCACAGATGGATTCAAGGATAGTTGCACAGTTGCTAGTGCCGCTGTCATTGGATCCAAATTAATATCTTCACCATTACCAGATGCCAGCTTCTCTTTTACAGCAGAGTCTGTATAACCCGTCTAAATATACACAGTTCATATTTTTCTCTCTCATGTCTCTCGCAACGCGTTTTGCGGGGGTTAGTAAAATAGACTCCTTTCGTCCTTGCAAATTTGTCTCTTCCGGAACAGAACTTAAAACCCGTTCAATATGTCTTCACCAAACTTAGCACAGATAGGTCTGGGTGTGAACTGGTGCCGTGTGGTAGTTTTGGATTTCTGAATAAAACAATTTTTTGGGCGTTTCCATGGCAACAAGTTTGACTTGGACTGAAATTGGTGTTGGTGCTCTTTTCCGGAGCAGAACTTTCAAACCAATGTTTATTTCTTCACCAAACGTGGCACATAGATAGGTCTGGTTATGAACTGGTGCCTTTTGGTAGTGCTGGAATTCTGAATAATTTCTTTTTTGCGTTTCCTTGGCCAATTGATTTAGACTGAACTTGGTGGTAGTTCTCTTTTACGGTGCAGAACTTTAAAACTGTCTAATGTTTTCTCACCCAAGTTTGCACATATATAGGTCGGGTGGTGAACTGTTTGTTTTAATATACTTTTACTTTGTCTAACCTTGGATTTCCTTTCCGGAGCAGAACTAATTCTAACCCGGATCTTGAACTAATAAAGGACATCGTTATAGATACAACTTTCCAACATTGTGTGGAGTGTGCAGGGTGCAATCACAGAAACATTGTGGAAAAAATCACCTTTTTGATGTTGATTTTCATTCGTACTTTTATTTTTTTTTACGGGTTTGAATGAAAAGGTGTTGCAGGTTGATGCTAGGAAAGCATCCATGATACAACGACACGGAGACCTGAAAGTACAAGGGTCAGATCAAATAGTTTCAGGTCCGTTCGGGACCAGTGTTGTATTTACTTCAAGCAAACGATAAACAACATCTTGGCAGCCCGTTTATATACGGTATTCAATTTATCCTAACCGTTTCTAATGCAACACTCATATGAAACACAACATGACACCGATAAAACTTTCCCTTCATGTTTTGGGGCGGTGGGGTAGCCTATTGGTTAAGGTGCATCAACCAAGTCAGGAAACATGACCACCTAAAGCTTCTAATCGCCTCTTACGCCGATGTAACTACTGAAATGAAACATTTGAACAACGTGCAATCTAGCAATTTACTTAACCTACGGATAATTGAAAAAATTCACCATTGAGCAAAACTTTAAAAAAAGTAAAAACGTTTTGGTCCCACACATTTGGGCAGTGGAGTAGCCTAGTGGTTAAAGCGTTCGCTCGTCACGCCGATGATCCGGGTTCGATTCCCGACATGGGTACAATGTGTGAAGCCCATTTCTGGTGTCTCCCGCCGTGATATTGCTGGAAAATTGCTAAAAGCGGTGTAAAACCATACTCACTCACTCACTCACTTTCATGTGTTTCGCTGTGTATGTTTAATGCCCCACTCGGCAGTTTTCCAGCTGTATCGATCTATACAATTACGATAAGATGCATCAACCAAGTCAGGAAACATGACCACCCAAAGCTTCTAATCGCCTCTTACGCCGATGTAACTACTGAAATGAAACATTTGAACAAGCGTACAATCTAGCAATTTATTTAGCCTACGGATAATTGAAAAATTCACCATTGAGCAAAAACCTACAAATGAAGTAAAAACGTTTTGGTCCCACTCATTTGGGCAGTGGAGTAGCCTAGTGGTTAAAGCGTTCGCTCGTCACGCCGATGACCCGGGTTCGATTCCCCACATGGGTACAATGTGTGAAGCCCATTTCTGGTGTTCCCTGCCGTGATATTGCTGGAATATTGCTAAAGGCGGCGTAAAACTAAACTCATGCCTTCACTCACTGTTATGTTTGTAATTCTATGAATAGTGGAGACAAAGCAGTTGAATGAACATAAACCTCCGGCAACAGACAGAATAGGGATCGTCGTTTGCCTATCAAACTGTCAAGATACAGACTAATTATTGGCTTGCTTGATGTTATCGGGGTTAAGTCCGTCGTTGATGGTAGTAGTGAGGAGTGGTAGTTCTGTCTCGGCTGTTGGTCCGGGTTCGAGTCCAATGACAGTATTATTTATATTTCCCTGTGTTACAGGCTTCTGGAACATAAATGTGGGTAACATATTTAGGAAGCTTGAAACGACGTTAACTTAATGTATCTATCAATCCAAACTTCATAGACTATGCATTGTACACATTACGTACCGACTGCCTCCGTGGTGTAGTGGTTATAGTGAGTGAGTTAATATTTAACGTCACATCGGCAATATTTCAGCCATATCGTGACGAGAACATGCGATATTAGAATGAAATATATGTATATTATAAAAAACCTGCCGACGAAGGACAGTAAAAATACTAGATAATCACAGCTATCAATATAAAACTAGCGAACAAAGCTAAAACATTCCAATTAAAGAAGACAATACAATGTAAAAAATGGGCTATAAATCGCCAACAACTGAAGGTAGATCACCATACTAGAGACCGTGGGGACTTACAGTGCCTTTGCTACCTGCATGGACCCTAGTTGGATTTACACCATCCCTTCAGCCATTGGCGACAGAAGAGAAATCTAGCCATAAATTAAAAACACACTTATTCTACGATTAAAAAGCAGGTACACTTAAATTGACTTTGAAAGTTTTGGGACTTACGTACCCCCTCAGGAGGACAATAATTTTACGCTACGTCAACCCCCCTTTGAGGGTACAGCCACTAACAATCTAAGTTGCTAATCTAAACTACCAATAATAAAATATATACCTATTTACAAATCAGTCAACAAATCTAATTTTTTTTAAAATGCAAGAATTAAATGAGAACTGACATTATTAAAAAGATCCTTCAGTGTTTTGGATGTGAAATAGATATCCCTTGTGATGGAATATTCAATGCAGTCAAGCAAGACATGCTTGACTGTGATTCTTTCATCACAAGGGATGCAAAACGGAGGATCTTCGCCTTTAAGCAAATATTCATGGGTATATCTAGTATGGCCAATGCGACATCGCCGCATAATGACCTCTTCAAATCTGGACTGACAACCCAAGTAGGTGTAACCAATGTAGGGTTTTATTGCATGTAATTTATTAATACCTACTTGGGTGTCCCACTTCTTTTGCATTAGATCGCGGATGTATGTTCTAATGCTGGCTTTATAATCAGAGTATGGAATAAGAAGTGGTGTCACAGATTTGTTGAGGGCTGCCTTAGCAGCAATATCAGCCATCGTGTTCCCAGAAATGCCAACGTGGCTGGGTAACCAACAAAAGACGATGTCGCATTGGCCAGTAGCAAGATCATTATATAATTCGATTATTTCAATTAAAAGTGGATGTTTGCAAGAGAGATTTTTAATAGCCTGAAGGCAAGAAAGAGAGTCAGAAAATATTATATATTGTTTATGTTTGGGATGTCTTTGAATATATTTAAGAGCTGTTAAGATGGCGTTTGCTTCTGCTGTAAATATAGAGCTGTTATCCGGTATTCTAGAAGATATTGTTCTGGATCCAATAACAGTGGCACATGCCACTGCGCCACCATCCTTGGACCCATCTGTAAACAAGGATTTGTATGTAGTATATTTATTTCTTAATTGACTAAATTCTTGTTTATATTGTAATTCATTTGTTTCTGATTTTTTAAATGTAGTTAATGTTAGGTCAACTTGTGGCCTAACCAATTGCCAAGGCGGAGAAGAAAGAAGACGGGAAGGAGCTATATGTTCTAGCTCAATGCCAGCTGCAGAAAGTAAAGGTTGCACTCTTATACCAAGAGGCGGAACAAGAGAAGGCTTCTTGTTATACAGATCTTCATATAGTGGACTAAAGACACAGTTATATGCAGGGTTTGACTCATTGGAATAAAGTTTTGTAATATACTGTAAAGTTAATTTTATACGGCGTTGTGTAAGAGATGGCTCATCAGCCTCAACGTAGAGACTGTCAACAGGAGAAGTTCGAAAGGACCCAAGACAAAGTCTCAGACCTTGGTGGTGGACAGAATCAAGTAGGTTTAGGTTGCTTTTGCAGGCTCCACCATACACGATGGAGCCATAATCAAGTTTCGAGCGGACCAATGAGCGATATAGGTGGAGGAGTGTAGTTTGATCCCCTCCCCACTTTGAGTTTGAAACAACTTTCAACAAGTCAAGTGCCTTCAGGCATTTAGTTTTAAGGGATTTAATATGCGGAAGAAAGGTTAAATGGGAGTCAAAAATTAAACCCAAGAACTTGGCTTCCTTCACAACTTTGATGGGTGTGCCATTTAAAGATAGTTCAGGGTCTTTATGCGGTTTGTATTTACGGCAGAAATGAATACAATTAGTTTTGGATTTAGAAAATTTAAAGCCGTTTTCAAGACACCATTTACTTATCTTGTTTAAACACAACTGCAGTTGCCGTTCAATAGTATGCATATTTTTACCGCGACAAGAAATGTTAAAATCATCCACAAAAAAGTGATCCATCGATTGAATCATTTAAAACCTTGGATAAACTGTTGATCTTGATACTAAATAAGGTAACAGACAAAATACTGCCTTGTGGAACACCCTGATCCTGATTGTAATGATCAGACAGGGTAGAACCCACGCGGACTTGAAATTGTCTGTCGTTTAAAAAGTTAGCTATAAATTGAGGCAAACGGCCTCGCAATCCGAAGCCATGTAAATCTCTTAATATGCCATATTTCCACGTAGTGTCATATGCTTTTTCAAGATCAAAAAAAGATAGACACAGCGTGTTGTTTATTAATTAGTGCATTTTTAACAAATGATTCCAAACGCACTAGGTGGTCGACAGTACTTCTGTTTTTACGGAAACCACATTGTATATCTGTTATAAGGTTATTTGTTTCCAAGTACCAAACAAGTCGATTATTTATCATGCGTTCCATGGTTTTGCAAACACAGCTTGTTAGTGAAATCGGTCGATAATTAGACGGATCCGTATGATCACGTCCAGGCTTAGGTATTGGTACTACTATAGCGTCACGCCATGAGGAAGGAAATTTCCCTGACGTCCAAATATCATCAAAAATGTGTAAGAGCGTCTCTAAAGATGACTCTGGTAAGTGTTTCAGGAGCTGATAATGTATGTTATCAGCACCTGTAGCAGTATCGTGAGCTTGCTCAAGAGCAGTATGGAGTTCATGAATAGAAAATGTTTCATTATAATCTTCCCCATTATCCGAATTGAAATTAATAGTTTTTTTTCTTCTTCTTGTTTTGATATTGTTGGAATTTAGGCACATAATTAGAAGAGGAAGAGTGTTTGGCGAGAGTTTCACCCAGTTTATTCGCAATATCTGATTTATTTGTAAGTAATTGATCTCCATGTTTAAGATGATGGACACTAGATTTAGTACCTTTACCTTTAATTTTCTGGACCATGTTCCAAACCTTGGACATGGGCGTTCGAGAATTTATCTTGGATACATAATTTTGCCAAGATTGGCGTTTATTCTGTTTAAAGGTACGCCGCGCTTTAGCATTTAACATTTTAAATTTATTTAAATTATGCACCATAGGATGGCGACGGAAATAATGTTCTGCTTTTTTTCCTTGCCTTCCTAGCTTGTTTGCGCTCATCGTTGAACCATGGTTTTCGGATATGTGGATTCGCAGAGGACTGTGGTATACACTCATCAGCTATGGTAGTCAGTTGATCGGAAAAACAGTTAATAGCATCCATAACGTCACTAAAAAGTTCAGGTTTCAGTTTTGTAGCACACAGTGTTTCATATAAGGCCCAGTTAGCCTTTTTAAAATTCCGCCTTGATGATGGAGGTACATCAGATGGAGTTACAGGTTTTAGTATGGTAGGGAAATGGTCACTTCCACATAGGTCATCGTGAACTGACCATTCAAATTCATTTAGTAGTTCTGAATTAGTGAGTGACAAGTCGAGAGCAGAATAAGTTCCTGTACCAGGGTGTAAATATGTGTTGGAACCATCATTATAAAGACATAAATCATTATCTGAACAAAACTCCTCCAGTAATTTACCTTTAGCGTTTGTATTTGCACTACCCCAGAGTGGGTTGTGCCCATTTAAATCTCCCATAATAATACAGGGCTTCGGGAGTTGGTCATATAGAGCTTGAAGATCAGTTTTGTGAAACGTTGAAGACGGAGATATGTAGAGAGAGCATAATGTAAACGCAACGTGCAAAGTTAGTCGCACTGCAACAGCCTGAAGATTAGTAGTAAGAGCAACAGGGCTATGGATAACGTTCTGTCTGACTAGGATTGAAGATCCCCCAGTGGCCCTATCACCCGGAGGTGAAAAATAATGATATGCATTGAAAGAACGCAGGGCAAAAGCATCTGTTTGTTTTAAATAGGTCTCCTGCAGACAGAACGCTGATGGAGTTAAATCCTGGACTAAAAGTTGTAATTCACTGAAATTAGTCCTCAGTCCTCTACAATTCCACTGTATAATATGATTGTGATAAACTATCTTTTGGGGGGATTTATTGGGGATCTTCCCCGTACTTTCTTGTTGGGCGACAAACTGTGCGCCCTAGAACGGACAGTTTCGGACACATCCATGTCCTCTCAAGGGAACCATATTTGTTATACAAGTTGATTTGATTTTCTGACCCTTTTGGGGCTCTGCCACTGAATTTTTGAAAGAATCTGGCTTCTTACCTTTGCCTTTAAGGGGCTGTGTAGACTTTGATGTCGACTGAGATGATGCGTCAAGATCAGAGGATGTTTCACATTGGCTTTGAGACGTACTAGGAACTGATTCAGTTGTTTGGGTCGATATTGCAGGTGAGAATATCACAGGAGATTCAGATTTAACCCAGGTCAGGTTTGTCTGACAGCATGCAGTTGACTTTGTTATTCTAGTGTTTGCTTCTGACGGTGTTCTGGTGATAGAAGCATAACTCTCCTTATGCTCTGAACTTTGAACTAGCTTTTTTGCATCGGCAAAACTAATGTTTTGGGTAAATTTGGTTCTATTTATCTCCATTTGATGTTTCCAAACAGGACAGTTTTTAGAGTAAGATGGATGATCCCCTTCACAGTTGGTACATTTTTTGACATTACTGTCACAATCTTCTGTTGTATGTGTCTTTTCACCACAGTGAGCACATACAACAGACAATGTGCAAGTATTGACGCCATGACCGAACTTTTGACATTTGAAGCACCGTAGAGGGTTCGGAATGTACGTGTCAACATTGATGTTACAATATCCTGCCTTTAGAGATTTTGGAGCATTTGGTGAAGAAAATGAAAATAGGTAGGTATTTGTTTTGATAACAGTATCATTTTTCCTGGTCGTGAAACGTTTGACATAGAGTACGCCTTGTTCTTTCATCTCAGAGACGATGTCAAGTTCAGACATATCTGCAAACAATCGATCACGGTCTCTGATGATTCCCTTGCTCGTGTTTAAAGTTTTATGAGCCGTGACGGTGACCGGGATGTTGACAAACGATTCTGTACTCATGAGGTTGGTGGCTTGGTGCCTTTTCCCACACTCAACCAACAGCACCGGAACGTAAACGTTTAATATTCTTGACATCACCAGCAATGCCCTGTATACCCTTAGATATCGCAAAGGGGTTCAACTTCAATGGAGTCTTATCAACAGTTTCAATGACAAGAAATCGTGGCCAGTATTCGATGGACGTGGACAGTCTTTGATCAGTATCAACTGGATCAGTGTCTAGTGGACGTTTGGGTTTTTTTATGGGGGTTTCGTAAGCCATGGTTAATTTTTCAAGGTTCGTCATCCGAGCTCCCCACCCACCATGGAGTATCACAAGGACAATGCTAAAAACAAGTGGATTTCCAACTTGCAGCACCAAGGATACCCGGATGATATACTCCAGCAGAAGAATTAAAAAAGGTTAATAATTCCACCAGATTGGCCCATGAGCCACCGCCTTCTGGGCATAAGACTCTAGGCAAAGTTCATAACATAATAATTCAAAATCACAAACGTTTTAGATAAACAAATAAGCCCGAAATTAAAACAATTCCAAATGTAATTTGTGCAATGACATATATAGATATAGTCTATACACAGGGCTTGGCGTGACCAGCCGATTGATAGAACCGGGCCAGTTCTACCACCCGTCTAGGTGAAGTAAGGGGCGAAGTGGTGTGTTGGGCAAAGGAACGCTAATCCTGGAACCAATGCCCTCAACCACCAGCCTCCCGTCCTCCACCGACACAGGGGCGCAACCCACGGCAAACGGGTTGGTGGACCAAATATCCCCCCGGGTCCACAACGGGGGGGGTTGAAGGGCGCTTAGCGTGACCCAGCACCCACCACGAGGAGGTGGCCCTTCACGGGTGCCTGTAGTGGTTATAGGGTCCGCCCGGAGAGCGGAAGGTTGCGGATTCGATCCCCGACCGCGTCATACCAAAAGACGTTAAAATATAGTGCTTGTTGGTCCCCTGCCTGACGCTCGGCATTAATGGGTACAACAAGGACTGGTCGGCTCGGAGTCAGCATAATGTGTCTGAGTGGGTTATTCATGCTTCACTGCAGGATGGTATCTCAGTGGGCTAGCACTACAAAACCAGCTTTAGTCTGGCTAGTACAAGCAGCCGCACATGCACATACACACGCATGCACGACGTCAAATGAGCGAAATATTCTCAAGCACGACGTTAAACCCAATTTCACCTCACCTCATTACGTACCAGTCACACACCAATGCACTCAGCAGTTTTCCGGCTATATGGAGGCGGTCTGTAAATAATTGAGTCTGGACCAGACAATCCAGGGTTCAACAGAATGAACATCGATCTTAGCAATTGGATACGATGACATGTGTCAACCCAGTCAGCGAGCCTGACCACCCGATCCCGTTAGTCGCCTCGTACGACAAGCATGGGTTACTTAAGATCAATTCTAACCCGGGCCCCAATGTGTTAACATCGGATGAACATGTAATGAATTTGGAAGATCCGGGTAAGAATTGGTCTTCAGCAACCAAAGGCGACTAGCGGGATTGTCCGGTCTGACTCCCTGACTTGGTTGACATGTCATCGTATTTCAATTGCTTAAGATGCCAATCACTGGATTGTCTGGTCCAGAGTAGATTATTTCCATAACCGCCACATAGCTTAAGTGAGACTTGAAACAACAGCTAAACACCTTGTGAGTTTGTGTACACATACCTCATCCGTGTTGGTCTTTTTCCCGCTGGTAAATATGCTTCTAACGACGTCAGACAGATATATGACATAGCGAGGATCAAGGTCCCCATCTCTGTTGAAACCTGTCATAAATAAAATGAACAGCCTATGTTATATTACACAAAGGTCACATGATGACTACAATTTGAAATATTGGACAAGAAATCCAACTTTGTGGGTAGCCCATAAGATCTAAAGATACGTCGAGAGTGTTTCAACGCATGTCTCTCTGTGTTGTGTTGATGAAACCTAAAACGTTAAATGTGCCGGCTCTTTTGAATGGAAACATTACAGACGTGGCTTGAAACGTCGCCATCAGCACCCTACAGCTCATGCAGGACATTGTGAACAGGATTGAAATCCAACATCGGTTTTAATACCAACATTCAAATCAGGGTCAGTATAATTATTATGTCGCCACCTTCCTTAATGCAATTGTCCTTAATACAATAGACTGAAGAGTCAGAAAGTCGATACAGAATCCGACATCTTGTCCACCTTCAGACCTTCCCGACTTTTATCAAAGTGACAGAGTAGCAAAAGTAATGTAAGTCCCCATGGTTCCTAGTATGGTGATCTACCTTCAGTTGTTGGCGATCTATAGCCTGTGTTTTATACTGTATTGTCCTCTTTAATTGAAATGTTTTAGCTTTACTCGCTAGTTTTATTCATATCTGTGATTCTCTAGTATTTTTACTGTCCATCGTCGACAGGTTTTAATCTTCAAAACGTTTTCTCTTTATATTGTATAAATTGTTTTCCTATTAATAGGGGCGTGGTTGACATCGCTCTAACGATAGTTAATTGATGAATAATCTGTTCGGATGTAACTCAAATCCACCCCAGTAGGTTGTTGGTGTCTGGGGCACAGCTCATGTAATATTCTTTGTGATTTTTTAAGAAAACAGTGTTAATAAAAATAGCTAGTCAGACTGGTACAGAGAGAACATAATATAGACTACCAGTTGTCAGACTTGTGGAAGCCGCGACGACTGAGTGGGTTAGATTGCTAACTTTGTGTGCTGGTGATTAGGTGCCCTAGTCTGAGAACGTGGGTTCGAATCCCGCATGGGACTCAATCCAAATATAGTACTAGAGCCTGTACTTTGCTAAAAAGCGAGTAGTCCCAAATATAACATATGTTAAATAACTGTCCGATGAAAAGATTGTCTGTCTCAAGCAAAACCCGCAGACCCGATGATCAAATGACCGCTCGCCAATGTCCTCCCTACCTGTTGCCCAGCTAACGAAGAAAGCCACGATCAGAACGATAGCTATACCAAGAGCGCCCAACCACAGATAGGATAGAGTGTATATGACACTGATGCCCGTTCTGGAATAAACAAGATTAAAAACTATTTGATATTTAGAAATGAACCGAAACCCGGTTCGAAACAGGTAAGAATATTTCAGATATAAGAAAACAAATTGCAGAAAATCATCCAAATGCAGGAGCTATATAACATGTTATACAAGTAAAGTGGAGTACCAGACTAGTTAACAAGTCTCATGTCTTTATCGTATTTTACCGCCTCCGTGGTGTAGTGGTTAGAGCGTCCGCCCGGAGAGCGGGTTCGAGCCCCGGCCGCGTCATATCAAAAGACGTTAAAATATGGTGCTTGTTGGTCCCTGCCTGACGCTCGGCATTAATGGGTACAACAAGGACTGGTCGGCTTGGAGTCAGTATAATGTGTCTGAGTGGGTTATTCATGCTTCACTATTAATTGAATTGTTCTCGTCACGATTTCGCTGCAATATTGCCGATGTGGCGCTAAATATTAACTCACTCTTTCACTCGCTCATTAGTACATCGTGTGATGCCCAGTTGTGGTTATCTCCGCCGTGACGTGGTTGGATTATTGCTCAAAGTGGCGTAAAACCCATTTTTCTCATCACGGCTGGTTATTGAAATGTCCAATATCCAAATTGTCGATCAAATATAACGCCCTTACACCGGTTCGGCTACAGCTCCAACTGTTGTTAGGTCATACAGTCCTGTTGTTGACGTCATGAGTCCTGTTGTATTCATGATCAGTGACGTCATGTTATCCACAGAACATTGGTCTGTTGGAGCTGGAGCCAGCCAGGGGGTCGGTCTTGTGGCTCCAGAGAAAGTGGCTCCAGCACACAGCCACATCATCAGCGCAGAACTTACAACGGTTGCCGCTATAGCCCCCTGTGTAAAACCAATGGATTTGATTTGATATAACTGAACATGAAACGTGAACGTTGTCAAAGCGTAGGTGACATCGGCAGTATCGTGCATGTGTATACACGTGCGTGCGTGTATGTGCCTGTACATGTATGTCTCTGAACTTACTTTTGCTGGGTTTCCAGTTGTACCCATTTATATACCAAGGAAAGATTGAGTTTAGAATTTGTCTTCAGCAACCCATGATTGTCGTAAAGGGATTAGGTGGTCAGATGGCATGTCATCGCATCGATGCTCATGATGTCAATCACTGGGTTTTCTGGTCCAGTCCGTTTATTTACAGACCGTAGTCATATAGCTGAGTGTGTCACAAAATAACAAACACATCCAACAAACCAAGTATCGGTAGTGGAGCTGACTAACCTGTATACAAAATTAAGGCCAATCGGGATCCGAACTCACCATTCAGAGGTTGCTGGTACACACAAGGAAGGCAACACTTTATGATGAATATAACAATGAAGACGATACCTTTGACTATGATTACACTTATCAGAGGGGTACACAAAGTCCGTGGTCTAGACTACCGGTTGCTCGACTTCCATTCGTGGAAGCAATGGTGGCAGAGTGGGTTAGATGTTGATGATAATATGAGAGGTTCTTCATGTGAGGTATTTCATGTTTTGCTTTCCAGTTTTACTTTTCAGTGTCATTGAATGTACGAATGAAACTTTAGATCCTTCGAGATTACTTACTTTAGCGTTAGCCCATGGACACAGAGATGCGATGATAAACAGCCCACACAGTGGACCGTTGAACGCGGATAACACCGATGTGGCAATCTAAAACAAGGACAATGATTCGTATAAACATTTTGAAGCACAACGAAAATTTACCAGTCACGACAGAGCGAATTCCATTGACCACAAAAGGAAAATTACCGATGAAATGTATGCTATCAGTGATCACAGCAGGTCTTAGCGAAAAGGAAGAGCCTGTTTTGCGACTTGCAATCTTTCCTTAAAGCCTGGTCTTTTTTAAAATTTGAGTGAGGGAATGTTTGAAGGCTGAATTTGACAGTGAATCTTATACACAAGATCAATACAAGATAAAGTCATAATCAAGTAGAAGGCTCAGGTTGCTTTTGAAACGAAAATGTTGCTTTTATTATCAGAGGCATCTTTACATTTATCATAACACTAAATGCAATTGCAAGTCTACAAACTGTCGGCAGGGCTCAGTCTGCGAAATAGACACTGGCCTGCTAGCCCGTGGCTAGTATAAATCCAGTCGGGCCAGTAAATCTCCACAGTCACTCGCCCGACTGGCTAGTGAATTTCCATAGGGTCGTTTTGAAAATATATCACTGTCTCTGACTTGCTATGTTATGATACACTCTTAAATTATCCATGATTATGGCCTGATAAATACGTTCATCATATTGATAGCTAAATGATGAAACCCGTGTCTACATTCAAATTTCGGACTAGTGAATTATTTTGTGGGCTAGTAACTTTTCAAGCATAGCTAGCCCGACTGACTAGCAAACTTTGAATCTATTTCGCCCACTGGCAGGGCTCATATTTACGGTTTTCGAACAGTATTTTAGTATTTTTCAGAATAATTATGAAGTCTTTGACCGTGACTGGGTCAAAAATGCACTTTTAACTGTGTCATACCTGGCTGGCCCACATTAAAATAATTCTTCAACTCTTTTTTTATCTTCAACGTTATTAATGATTTATGGTACCATGTAAACAGTACCTTGAACAGCCTACCGAATAAAATTTGACAAGCATTGATGAATTCATTAAATATGTCTAAAGAGCCTTTGAATAACAGACTTGTAGCACGGGTGAAATGATGTGGATGCAATTATCCCCCTCTTCTCACAGACCAGTTGATAAGCACCGAAACAGTCACTAGAGAGGTCACCAAAACATTGATAAGATATTTAAGCATGTTAACCTTATACAGTACCTGCGTGAGTGTTCCTCCAATGAAGGAAATTAGGATGGCAACTCCACAGGAAAGAAGCCCGAACACAACAACTGGAAGTAAGAGGGGCAGTGACATGCACTGAGGTCTCACGAAGTGCCGTGACCTACTTACGGGCACTATATATACATCTATCTGACAAGAGACACTGAAGGACACACATACATTGCTGAAACGTCAACTGGACAATCAAATCAGATCATTTTATTTCAGTTTTAAGGCCCCCAGGTCTACGAACAAGCAAGCCATTGAGCATTTAAAAGCTGCGTGCCTGAAGAAGATATTACAGTAATTACAATAATGAAAATCGGTAAATTCATAGTTTCAGCGTGTCTAATAAACATCCTTTATATTCACATTAAATACAAGTATTTCCTTCCAGTGCTTTGTAAATAGATAATACCTTTATATAAACTTTCCCAGACCCTTTTCAGATTACCATCATGTGGATCTTGAAAGAAATAACAGCAGTCTGAAGGAGATATGTTTCAATAAAGGATATATTCAGGTGTCTTATGAAAGCGTAACGGATTCTGTTATGAATAAGATATACAACGATGACTATAGACCGAGGTAGCATTCACCTGACACTTTAGCAATCACCGTTGCTGTGAAGTCGGAAACATTTGGTAGGCGTGGTTTGAGAATGTCCTCCCAGGTCATCGCTGACAGACTGGAGAGTCCAGAGGAAATTGTGCTGTAGAAACATAAAAGGTGCGTGAGTGATCCTGAAAAATACTGTTACTTTTACATATCGAAGTGGCATCGCTCCAGCATATATGTATTCCCTTTGGAAAATGTAGATTGCATGATTTTTATGCCAATTTTAGCAATGTTTCGGCAACATCAGAGGAAATGACGTCGAAAAGAAAATTACACGGTATTAAGGTGGGTGATAGTGTTCGTGATGATAGTTCTGTAATTGTAAATTATATTTTACGTTCCATATATTTTATTTTTCAAAATAGAATATAGCGGCCATAAAGTGTGTAGTGCGTTATCAGACACACCTACCTTAAAGACGCTCTGGGTACAACGAGAGTCTAGTACAGCACCTACCTTACATACGCACAGTGGACAGAGAGAGTCCCTGCATTATCTTCACAGAGACACGGAATAAGCTGACGGAGATGGCCCAGGCATAGCATGCATTATAGACGTACTGGGGCAAGAGAGTGTACAGACATTGCCTACCTGAGGGATTAAGGAAAATATGCCTCTCCAAGAAGTTACCTGAGAGATGCACTGAATAAAGCGGCCAGAAAGAGTCCAGGCATGCCAGGCAAACCCCGGAAAATATCCATTACCATAAATGGTATGATCTAAAGGAAATATAAACATTAAGTCAAAATACATGGAGTAGTTATATGACGAGTTGTATTGACGAAAGAGCCCTCAATATTGTCTTTCAGCCAGGGATGACAGATCATTAATTTATTAAGACACATACTTGAACTCTGCATTAAAATATACTAAACCGCAAAGGAAACGCCACCTTTCAAACTCGAATGCAAAATGTTCTCACAAAGGGGTGTTTTATTATGATTGTAGCGTTTTCTTCAATCCAAATTGACAGTTATTGCCAACATCAGTGTGTTTTCTGATGAAAAAGCATACCTAAAACGCACACCTAAAAAGTTAGACGTGGTAAAAGGTTCCGTATGACATTCACGAAAATAAAAATGAACGTGCATATCGTGACAACCCTACCAAGGAAAGCGAGTCTGAAACTCGCCTGAAATCATTCTTGTAAGACACAATCGCCATGCCACGACTTACGAGAGATCAGATGAACCCATTGCAAGCCTTGGGGCAATTGCAAGCTGGCCAGACTGTACAGAGGCTTGCCAATCATTTTAATGTTCATGTTAGGACAATCTTCCGACTGCAGCAGCGGTATCAGGCCACTAACAGCATCCAAGACCGTCCACACAGTGCACGACCTTCAGTAACATCACAACGTCAAGACCGACGGATTGTGCGCAACTATCTGCAGGATCGCGTCACCAGAGCGCCGGAAACAGCACGCCAGACCATTGGGACTCACAACAGACCCATTACAGTGCGTCGACGTTTGCGCGGAAGAAACCTCTGCTACCACATAGTGGTCCTGTCATCACCGCTCGTCAACACCAAAACCGACAGCAATGAGGAACTCAGCATCGAAATTGGCGTTGTCGACAATGGAGAACTCTGCATTTTTCCGATGGCAGAGTGAAAGTATGGCGAAGGCATGGGGAACGGTTTTCCAATTAGTGTATTGTTGAAAGAGACTCGTGGGGTGGTCCAAGCATCAAGGTCTGGGGTGCAATCGGTTTGAACCTGAGAGTTGGCCCCGTGGTGTTCCGGAATTTTGGTCTAGAACGAGGTGCTCGCTATTTTGACCAACTCCTAAGACAGGGGGCAGTGGATTATATACAGTTACTTCTTACCATCAAGCAAACGAAGGATATGCAATTTGGACAGATTTATGGGTTACTTCTTGAAAAATAACATTGTAATTTAGCCGAGTAGGACACACAGATCAGACCATTGATAAAGAAAAGATTCCAGCGTGTTATGTTTTAGAGCCACGATTTTTTCAATTATTTCAAAACAGTGCTAGTGTGTTCCTTATTAACACTAGAAATATTTAGATCGTTAGCTTTAAAGTATATGATATGATTAATTAATTGAGAGGTTTTGTCATTGATGGTCAATAGTATCTGGTCATCAAACTTAACTCAAACATTTCGTCACGTTCTTAAAATTTATATATATTTAAGTGTAGAAGTGAGGACAGCTCACATACCCCCGCTACACACTTTGGGACATGGAAATGACTGATATTGATATATATAATGTGACAAGGCTCACCAGCTCACGTGACTTTCTCCTGGACTCCACCAAACTTTATATACATGTTAGAAAATAGTTTTGCAATTTACTGATTACATCAATAATTTATGGAAATATTGTTTTGCACCAAGTCGTACTTCCATATAAACAGCAAAATATGAAATTCTGATAAACTTTAAAATAGCAAAAGTCACATCTGTGTTGGTCTTGAATAACTTGTGTGTTAGGTTTGGTGAACCTAGCGTGTACAGTTTCGGTGATACGCTCCGGACAAGATAACTGTCAAACACATTTTGCGCTGAGTCATGTTTCCATAGAAACGACAAAAAATACAATTCTGATAAACTTCAAAGTAGCATAAGGGACATCTATGGTTAATGATTAGCATGTATGTGAAGTTTGGTGAACCTTGCATGTAAACTATAGATGTGCCCCGGACGTTTCGGGACGGTGTGCGTGAGTGAGTTTAGTTTTACGCCGCTTTTAGCAATAATCCAGCAATATCACAGCGGGGTACACCAGAAATGGTTTCGGGACGGAAGGAAGGACAGAATGAACGCAATGTACCCCCGTTACTTCTTAAGCAGGGAAATAAGAAGGCTAACTGACCTGATTCGGGTTGTGTATTTGGTCTGACTCCAAAGGGTCACATCTGACGTTCACATAGTAAGCATAGGCCACTATGCCCTCTACCATGGCCAGGGTGAGTGTTATCCAGAATGCAGGACTCACTATCAGCATTACTCTGAAAGACAGAATTTGGATCACAAATTAATATGGATAGTACCCGTGAAGTCCATGATCTTCAGCATCTCATGTTTGGCGTGGGACGGTCGGGTAGCCGAGTTGTTAAAGCGCTCGCTCGTCACACAGAAGAACCAGGTTCGATTCCCCATATTGGTACAATGTGTGAAGCATATTTCTCCGGTCCATCGCGGGGATATTGCTGGAATATTGCTAAAAGCGGCATAAAACTAAACTCACTCACTCATTCTTGACTTAAGAGGCGAATAACGGGACCAGGTGGTCAGACTCGCTGACTTGGTTGACACATGTCATCGTACCTCAACTGCGCAGATCGATGCTCATGATGTTGATCACTGGATTGTCTGTTATTGGTTGACATCATGAACATCGCTTCCTGCAATTGGTACATGATGACACCCAATCAACAAAGGCTATCCACCTGATCATGTTTTGCTGCAACAAGCCAGTTTTGCTTTTGGGGGCAGATGGTGAATTTACGTGCTTACAGCATGATTTGGCACTCAGATTACGGAAGACTGGCACAGTGACAAAAGAGATTTTATTTAAGGAATATATATGATGGAATCTACAAAATAATGCCACAGCACGAATTTCCCTCCTATGTTTTATTTTCTTTTATCTACAGGAAGGGAAGTAGGCCATAGTTCTGTGGCCTTGTTTACATGACTCACTTCTTGGCAGCAGCGAGTGTTGGCGTTGAACAGACCCTCTGTATAGTGGACTGGTTGAAGACCAGGCCGGACGACCGAGCGAATGTTCCAAGAAGCAGCCCCCAGAACGTGTGACGAACAGTCGGATCAGGGTCAAAACTAGGTTAGAACACCATGGTTTGTGTGACAGCGCCTCGTGAACAATAATATATGATGTATGGGTTGCTGAAGATCACTTCTAGCCCTGACCTTCACTTGAAAAGGGTTTTATTTAAACAATATTTCTTGAATTTTTCGGCATTGAGTGAAGAAGTGAAAACAGACGTTTGCCATTTTGGTGAAGCCAAATGGTGCAGACAAACCTAGAAACAGAATCAAGTCGAATCGGGATTCGACACACCAATTATATCTTTATCGGTATCATTTGACTTTCTGTCAAACTGACTTATGCATCTGAAGCCCCGTAGTTTGTGAAATTCTGTTTGATTCGTTTTCGTTCAAATAAAAGTCTTACAATGAGCTCAAGTGGAGCCTTATGGTAAACCGTTCGCTCCGAACACCGAAGATCCGGTTAGATTCCTCACATATATTATATATCAGCTGTGATATTTTGGGCACATTTCATCTCATTCACTGAGGCTGACATATCCCATTCTAAATTTGTTTAACATTTGAATATATTCGAAAGCATTACTGCTTATGTACATGGAATAGTGTACATCTCCCATTTGAGTATTATATTTCTAATCTGACGTACAAAAGAAAGTACACACCTGATGCTTTGGTAAAATGTTTTCCTAAAAACAGCGTAATATTGAGAAAAGGGTTTTGATTGTGACTCACAATTCACAAACATTGTGTACGTCTTGCAATAACACCATAGATATCGTACCCAATTGGAACCTTGCCAGCAAAATATTTACTTTTTTTAAATAGTCTCAAAACAGCAGGTGTGTACTTTCTTTTGTACTTCAGTATATTGTATGAAATTGTCAAATCCTACTTAAAGAAATTAAGCCGTCCTCCTTTAGCTGCAGTTGTCCAGACCGCCTTGATTCCGCCTGCATCAACTGTCCCCTGAAATGCACCAGCAAGAACAGGATAGTGGTATTTAATCTGATGCATTTTGTGTACTACATTTGTATCTGGTCGAAATTGACTGCCGGGAGACTAATGTACGTAACCTGTAGCAGCGATGTGGGAACATAACACGGTAATATTGATATCGTACCTCAACATATGACATAATAACAGATATCTCGTTACTATTCGTATTTTTTTAAAACTTCTCGTATACGCTTCCTGGCACAGCAAAAATAACCTGGTGGAAAGTGGACTGAAACTTAAGTTTCCACCTAGAATCCAGTGAGTTTCCGTTCTTTTATATTGAGTTTCCGTATTAACGGAAACTTACAATTACCCACTTTCTAAGGGTTTCCGCAAAGTTTCCGTTACCCACACTCCAACAGGTTTCCGCAAGGTATCCGTTACCCACACCCCGACAGGTTTCCTTTGAGTTTCAGTTAACTTTGAATCCATCAGGTTTCCGCAAGGTTTCAGTTATTAATAAGACTCCAACAGGTTTCCGCAGAGTTTCAGTTACCAACAATCCGACATAGTTTCCGCATAGTTTCAGTTACCAACAATCCGACATAGTTTCCACATAGTTTCAGTTACCAACAATCCGACATAGTTTTCGCATAGTTTCAGTTACCGGTTTCAATTTCAGGTTCACAGGTTTTCATATGCGTTTCAAAGAGCCAAATTTAAACATTCTTCTTTATTCATATCATAAACTCTTGTTAAAAACAATATAAGCAATTTGTTATTATCATGACATTTACTTAAAGAAAAACAGAATATATAATAAGATTCATTGTTTTATTTTCTCAACATGAATATGAATTAGCATTTAAGGCAAATAAAGATCATACATATAACTAGTAATATAGCACTAAAAACAGGGCAAAACATTTTTGCATAACTCAGTCCAGTTTAAGAAATCATATATCATTTATAACAAAGTAGTAATTTGTCATCAGTTAAACTTTCATTCACTTATTATCTTGAAATAGCATGTTAGATATGAAATTTATTTATAAAATCATGCTTATGGTGAAAAATAACAATAACATACAACTTGTCACAGTAATAAAACATAGCTGCATCGGACATTTATTTGCACGCCTTGGCATTCAGCCACACACTCTATGTCACAACTATCGCCAAACATCCACTATGATATACATCATACAAAAACACAACATACAGCTTACAATACAAAAAAAAATAAATTAAAAATTACATTATGAAATTGAAAATAAATTCAATTATATTGCAAGAGTTGGTCAGTTAGCCCAATAAGGGGCATCCCTGGGCGGCTGGGCGGAGATCCCTCCGGTTGGTTGGATGCCTCATCCTCATCCTCGTCCTCACGTTGGCAATGACCAGAGCAGTGGAGGTGTAGATTCTTTCCAAGTCCAGTGTCGTCGTGTATGCCCTAAGCTTGCTGGACTCCCAGACAAAGGGGACGGAATGCAACTAATTGACGTCATCTTCGTCACTCACAACTGGTGATGTCATGTCTATGGTGAGTGTTGTCGTTACCTTTTTCTTTCGTCTATCTGGCCAATCGATAGATTCAAGTCTGTTTAGGCGTTGTGCAAGTTTCTCAAAATGGCAGGTAATAACGAATTACTAGGTTATTTTGATAAATTACACAAACATCAATCAACAAGAAACTGACAATGCCAAGGATGATTTAAAATGAGTAATCCTAAAGAAAGTTTGAATAAAAGAGAACTAAATTGAACAATCACACTTTGCACTAGTTTTCTCAAAACTCAACAAATGCAATTCATCACACTTCATTTACCGAATGAAATATCTTATTTTCTAAAGAGGACACACAATCTTTACAAAATTTGCTCTGAAGTTACATGCTTCCCAGACCAGAGGAAGTAATACGTTATATATATATCTGAACATTTATTGCATTTTCTATATAGTAATACTGGTACTAGTAATAGATTTTCGTCAAATTGCTACATTCAATCTCTTACAGTCCGTATTGAGCCCATTTCTGGTGTCCCCCGCCGTGATGTTGCTGGAATATAGCTAAAAGCGGCGTAAAACCAAACTCAGTCAGTCAGTCGTATTGTTGAAGGCACAAGTATATTCACCCAGTAGTGACTGTATGTTTACACCATTAAGTCTTTGAGGTGTGTTTAGAAGTGAATAATACAAGACATGAAGGTTTACGGACGTGGGACGGTGGGGTAGTCTAGTGGTTAGAGTGTTGGCTCGTCATGCCGAAGACCCGGGTTCGAATCCCCACATGGGTACAATGAGTTCCCCGCCGTGATATTGCTGAAATATTGCTAAAAGCGGCGTAAAACCAAACCCAGTCAGTCAGTCAGTTTACGGAAGCCAAAGCATTCACTCTGAAACATGTTTTCACATAATAAAGGAGTTGACATCCATAAACCTTGTCTCTACACTATTAATTGGAAATTATTTACTATTTATAATGAAAATCACTACAGGTAGGTCAAAATTACCTTCACATGTTCCTGCTGACCATCCTTGGTCATTCATTATACAGTCTCCAGACTCATCATCAGCTTTGCTGAAAAAAACCCATAAACAATAACACGTTACTTTGGTTTGCATTTCCCCATTCGTTGGTTTCACATTAATTTTCGACTCGCTGTGCGCATGCGTAGAGCGTGTACAAATATCCCCAGGCCATATCCGGTTTGGTCGTATTAGCGATATTGTAAACACGCTCTAAATAAATGCTGTATAAAAATTATTTATGCGTGACAACTGTTCATAGTTGAGTACGTACATCAATTTGCCTATGCTTTTCAATATTTGATATCCTATTTTGGTGGCATTGCATCAGAGATGTGTTTTTTTACTTGTGAGAAGGGGATGTGCAGGAAGGACGGTGGACGGGTGGTGGTGAGATGTGTTTATACAAGAGCTTGTTAACAAACGTTAAGCTATTTATTTAACTGATTCCGGTCCCTTCCATTCATAAATGATGGGAGATTAGTTAAATTCGACATAAAACCATATATTTGTTTTGATTTTTGCTTCCTTTAGAGTGCGTTTACACTATCGGTAAAGCTTACGACCAAACCGGATATGGCCTGAGGATATTTTTACACGCTCTGCGCATGCGCACAGCGAGTCTAAAATTAATGTAAAACCAACGAATTCATTCATTCGAGTCAAACAATTGCAGCGACATTTATACCAACAAGCAAACTACAGATTTATCACTTTAGGTTATGCAATCAGTAAGTGAACGGCCTGACAAACATCCTGATGAATGAAGTTTAGTTATCTCATGTGACATAACCTTGGAGTAATTACGGTATTGTAAAATCAAGGGTCGGTTTGACTGCAATTTCACACAGATGTGAAGTTAAGATTTATTTGGTCCATTTTGAAATCAAGATTAAGTTACCGGTTATTCAAATCCATTTGCAAATGTAACTTTAGTATGGTACATTTTGTGAAAATGTATCTAGGGAAGCATAATAATAAAATATTCAAAGTGAAATTATGTCTATGTTTCGTAGTACCATAAACACATACCTTTAGTAAGAGAGGGTGATCTTTTCCTCCAGGAGTAGTCGTGACACATGTTTCCTCACAACAGCCTAAATGAATAAAACAAATCCATTAATATATAATCTATTTGCTATATTTTTCAAAATTGTAGTATATTTTTAGATAGACTATTTTACTTCACCAACCTTTGAAAATAGTTCGAGCAAAACTGTTTATACAGTCATGGGACTTAAATTTACGTCAGTCGGCAAAATTCTCATAGACTTGCATGCTATTTTAGTGTAGCTATGTAATTTTCATTAATTCAGTTTTCCATATTTGGTTGTCAAATTTTGCAGGTTGTTAGGAAATTATCTTGGTGACAGATACATAATTTTCCGCATTGTAGTTACATGAGCAACATATACACAACATTGCGTATTCTTTCCCCATAGACCGCCATGTTAAAAATTGCCATAACCATGACACGCACTGAATTGAAAATATGAACGGAAATTATGTCTTTGTAGCTGAGATGATTCATGACCCATGTGCAAAATATAAACAATATCAAACGTATGTTAAATAAATTCAAGACATATTTCTAGCTGCACCAAATTAAGTCGAATAATGCATAGTGACGAATACCTATGGCCAGTGGCTGTAATTCGATAGATTAGCTTGTTTACCAATCCGGATTTCTGTACGTAAAGTAAATAATTCATTAAACGTTATTTGACAACAAAATAAATTGGTCTTACCTGACAGGGTCGTGGTACTGCGAGTTTTCGCAGCCATTTCCTTCTTTCTTTTCCAGGTAGCGAATTCTCTCTTCCAGTGCTTTGGGGAAAACTGAGGCGGCTATGAAAATGGCGTCTCGCAAAGACTCACGGGAAAACACTAAGTTGTTTTTTAATCTAAATCTAACATTACAGTTTGACAATATCTTTCCGCCTTAAACAACAAAATAAACATACACTATACACCTAAAATGTCAGCTGTGTGTTTTTATAATGATTTAGGTAGTCTCGCGTGGACGTGATCCGGTCGCCATTGTTTTATTTGTTTACACTGCCGACATCAAACGGGACCGTGAAAGGCGGAAATGAGCAGATTGAATGTGAGTACCCAAAGTGACAACAGTGGGCTGTTATGGGCTTAAGGGTCTTTTCATCGCATTATGGGCACTAATTGCTCCTCCTCAGTGTCAAGCATTAACGTGTAGGCCTAGAGATAATTAACTGAATAAATCTGAAAACATATTCACGTTACTTTAAAAGTTCCGATCGAGCTTCATGAGTCCTACTCCTGAGAACTTGTGATAGTGGCCAATAGGTGATTTTTCAAAACCCTGTCAGGAGTAGGCAATATACGAAAAGATTTTTGCTGGACGTAAAACTTCATCATGTAAGTAATTTACGTATTGAGCTCAAAACATGCAAGTGTATTTAGACATGCTTATATCATGTTCATTCTTTTCAGTTCTACACCTAGATCTACGTATACTATTCCCATGTATTATAAGTTTACTTATCTAATTTTGCAGTATATATTATTAGTTTATATATAATGTCAGCTCAATATATCTGAGTGAGTGAGTTTAGTATTACGCCTCACTCAGCAATATTCCAGCTATATGGCGGTATTTATCCAATTATAACATTTCATCTATTTTATCATTTTATAACCATTAAAACCATCATACATATACTTTACACTCATAGCTTTGTGTAATAATTTGTCTAATCAATTATTAAACCTCTTTGCCTTACAATGCATCGACACAAGTCACGTATAACATTTCTAAAAGAATTATTGTTTTAATTTACAGATACGTATTGTGGATCCACTGACTTGTTGGAGATTTACAAGAGGCTTGGCTTGGTATCACCATACCATGCTCCTAATTTCATTAAAGGAAATCTTAAAACAATATTTTCATCAGCATTTAGTCAAACACAAGTAAACACTAAATAGATACATAGAATAAATTTCTTTATCTTTGTGAAAAATATAGTCACTCAAAATGTAACAGTGCGTGGATTCCAGTGTTATTATAAGTTGATATGTTTTTCAGTTCCAAGAAAAAGACCAGTTTTCTGTCCGCACTGCCAGTCGTTTGTTTCAAGGAAACAAGGAATCCGTCTGGAATGGACGGCAGTTTCTCATGAGGTTAGTCGTGAAAGATACTTCACTTCATAGGTTTCACTTAACGACTTCAGTTTGATCTGTCCCTTTGTTATCCATCATATATCAATAATGAATATATTTAATTATTATATATCAGATATGTAACTGTAACTGAAAGTGAAAAAGTTGTGTTACACATTTTACAGTTTTTAAATTAAAGTAAAGGTAAAAAATAATATTTTATGTTATTATATTGCTGTGAATGTTTCCTTGGAGGGTTGATAAAAGTAAGAAATACCCACGATTTTTCATTCATGGGAAATGTTAGGTTTTGTATGCTTTTCTCAGTTGAGTTGGTCATTTCAATTTGAAATGAATAAGATCACATATATAATCAGGTGTTACATTCAGTGTTTAAACATGATTCGTATCTATTTAAAATATGTATGTACCGTTTTACCTATGCTTAGATTTCAATTGGAGATTTGGTAGTAGATTTTACCTTGAATATGAGTACAGTAACAGTAATAAATATTACCACAATTTGCTTCAGAATACTGGGTTGGCTACCATTTTCTGGTACCAATCAATCAAATAAGTGACATGTCCAATGGAAGATAAAATATACATGTATACTACAGATCTTTGTTTGTGATTGTGAAAAAAATCTTTTGGTTACATCTACAAATTAGTAGTTCATATTTTATAATTTCATTGTGATCAAATGTACCACTGTGCATGTTTTTGAATATGTATACATGTGTTACTTTGCCTGTTTTTGTAGTTTTACTAAGCATTGTATGTATTGTATTTGCAGGATGATGCAGAGTCTGTGGGACGATGAGCATGGCAACGATGTTGTGCCAGACATGACTCTTCATATTCACCCACAGATCTTAAGTAGAGCATACACTATCTGTTTGCGGTTGTGGACTGGTTCAAGCCTTGTTGTAATCAACTTGGTTATATTTCCCCTTTCTCTGAGTGACAAAACAAATGTCTCAACTCAGGCTCTGCTTCATATGTACCAGATCAGAGGATGGCTGTCTGCTCAGTATGAGTGCAATAGAAGCTTCATGATTGTCTTTACTATGTGAGATTGTTAGTGTGTATATGTTAAGATACATTGAGGCAGTTTCAAATGTACACTTCATGTATATGGGCCCATGACCTTTCATACAATAAACATTTGAATTTGAAAACTGTTTAATAAAAACCACAGCAAGTATGTTATGCCTGCACTAGTAGACCTCATTTCATCATATGCATAAAATGTTGTAGGGTTCTGACATATTTGTATTTGCATATTCATACAGAAGTTGTGTTCTCCAATGCTGAAGATTCCCTCTTGATGTGGCTTCTCACATACATACAGGCATACAGACATTGTTAGGTTCTGTTGAAATGTGAGCTATTCAAAATAATGAAACAGATGAATCATATCAGTGACTGTGTTACTGTGTTTGTTGTTTTTCGTGTACAATGTAATAAATGGTACATTCACAAGTTATGCAGAATGGTAGTGAGTTACAAAGTCACATCGGCAGCCATATCGTGACTATGAAAGTCGTAAATCTAAATTTGTACATGAAATAAAAACAAACTTATATACTTACCTGTCTTCGAAGGACAGTAAAATAACTAGTCTATCACAAATGTACACTAAAAACTGGCATGTAACCATAAACACTTTAACGATACAGTATAAAAATGGGCTATAGATTGCCAACACCTGAAGGTTGATCTAGGGACTACGGGAACGTACAGTACTTTTGCTTCCTGCATGGACCCTAGCTGGATTCTGTATATAGAAATTATCTTGCAAATGTAACAGTAAGTAAATATTGTCCCCCAATGGAACAGCACAAAGCTAAGTTTGCCATTTCATCTAAGCTGAAACCAACAGAAACCTAGCGGAAACCTACATTACCCAGTATCCAATAGGTTTCCGCAATAGCGGAAACTAAGTCATTTTGCTATGAATGTTTCAGCGAACCGAAACTAAATGGAAACGCATAATGATAGTTTCAGTTGTAGAAACTTGACGGAAACCTAGATTTGTTAGTTTCAGTTTTGTAAACTATGCGGAAACACGCATTGTCTGTTTCCGGATACTGAAACCTAGCGGAAACCTACAGTACCCAGTATCCGTTAGGTTTCCGCAAGAACGGAAACTAAGTTATTTTTGCTGTGTGGTGTTCCATGATAAATAACTGATATCACTATACAGAAAGGAAAAAGAAGTATCTATACAGACAAATAAGTAAGAAAAGAAAAAAATTGAATGATGATATGATGAAATAATGTAATAATAAAAATCATTGAGCTGAAACAAACAGGAAATTCCTGTTTTTAGATACTATCATTTTGCATGCAGCGTGATGAATTGCTTGGCAACTTCTCCAAATGGAACTCATAGGGAGAGAAACGTCGCCTGCAGTACAGCATATTGAGGTAAGCCAAGAAAACAATTGTTTTTGCCTTTATGTTGATACAGGCAGGGTAATATTGCTATCGAAATGCTTTGAACATTTCAGTTTGAATCGGTACTATACTCATACTTGCTGACACAGGTTCGGCACGGTACAAAAGAATCGTGGATATTCCGAGTAAGAGTATGGTTTCATAGCAACCAATAATTGTCCACTAAACGGATCCAATGGACATGTGAGTGAGTGAGTGAGTTAATATTTAACGTCACATCGGCAATATTGCAGCCATATCGTGACGAAAACAAGCCATATAATAAAAAGTAGAAACTTTCTATGTTTTTATGGACAGTAAAAAGACTACAGCAATGGACATGTGATTTTAGTTGAATGCATGTCATCCTATCGATGATGAATGCAGATCGATTATGAGGCTTTAAATAATGAACAAGATAAAGTAACAATCCACTGTCATTATTGAAAATCTGAAAATATTCACGTTCAGTTTGCCTGTTTTGACAATGCGATACTTTTTGAAAATGCAATACTAACAGGGACAAATTAAACCCAGGTTCATGACGTTCTTGAAAGGCCTACCTTGATGATGACTGCCATCATTCCTGTAAACATCACAACAGCCTGGAAGACGTCAGTCCAGATAACAGCTTTCAGTCCACCCTGTAAACAATACACCCGTTCTAGTGGCATGGCGCTCGATCGTATGAAGTAATAACATAAAGGCTTGGTCCCTTCGAAAGGTTTCTTTACTCATTAACTTCCTTGTGTCCAACCTTGGAGAACTCGAAGAGAATTCCTTTAGCGTCGACATAACGGTGTTCGACTGTACTTGCACAGCCTGTTCCATGTTCCAGCGTTCATGTCATGTCAATCAGTTACTTGTATAAGGGAACTAATGATTGGCAATACCTTGGCGCTGCATCTGACCAGAAGATCTAATCACAGTGACAATCCACATCATGTACGTACAACACCTTATACAGACAGAGTGCTCGTGAAGATCCGGGTTAGAATTGGTCTTCAGTAACCCATGCTTGTAGTAAGAGGCGACTAACGGGATCGGGTTGTCAGGTTCGCTGACTTGCTTGACATATGTCATCTTATCCCAGTTGCGTAGAACGATGATCATGCTGTTGATCACTGGATTGTCTGGTCCACATTATTTACATACAGCCCCCATATCGCTGTGTGGCGTTAAACAACAAGCCAATCGATATACACACATTGTGTGTTGTGCGCCTATTGGGGAAGAAGCAGTACCAAATACAACAGGACTAAAACTCGTCCTATTACATTAATTGCACCAAACCATACATTCAGATCAACTACTGATTTCAGCAGAGCATTCAAAAACTGAAAACAAAACCACGGAGAACTTGAAGGATTTAAGTAGGTTCCTTCAACTTCGTCGACCGTTGCCCTGTCGAACTTACGGTTGTATGAAAGTAATAGAAAAGCTTAGTCCCTTCATAAGGTTTCTTTACTCACTAACTTTGTTATCTCGAACCATGGTTCAAATCAACTACTGGTTTCAATAGAGAATTCAGTTCAATATTAGAAAAGAAAAATCCAACATGCACTGTTTAAGACTGCCAGCCTGAAACCAAGGCGTCCTGTGAAGGGTGTGGCTCTAACAACTGTCCCTTGGCAGCAAAGACTGGAGTGGATTCATCTGGTGTAATACAAAGTGTACCGCCGAATGAACAGATGGCCGAAAACGTTGTTGGAGACCGCAGTATGCCAAGGTAACACTTCTTCACCATGATCGTTATTGGGATGGGTTTCTTTACTCATAAACTTTGTTATCTCGAACCATGGTTCAAATCAACTACTGGTTTCAATAGAGAATTCAGTTCAATATTAGAAAAGAAAAATCCAACATGCACTGTTTAAGACTGCCAGCCTGAAACCAAGGCGTCCTGTGAAGGGTGTGGCTCTAACAACTGTCCCTTGGCAGCAAAGACTGGAGTGGATTCATCTGGTGTAATACAAAGTGTACCGCCGAATGAACAGATGGCCGAAAACGTTGTTGGAGACCGCAGTATGCCAAGGTAACACTTCTTCACCATGATCGTTATTGGGATGTAGCTTCACATTGTGGGGTGGTATCACACATGACAGGCGAACTGGTTTGGCTATTGTAGAACGACATTTCACTAGCCACAAAGTTCCCTGACATGTTGCCAATAGATCATCAGTAGAATGTTCCCGGGTGGAGTGTGTACACCAGAGACCAAGCACCCGGTTTCGGTTAAAATGAACCGGATGTGCTGAAAGCTATACCCTCAAGGACTAATAAGGATTTCTAAGATAGGCTTGGTTAGTATGTTAAAGAATGAATTATAATTTCTCACCATGGCTGTGTAAACAATAGCGGCAGCTGCAACCAGGAAGATCGAGCCTATTTGGGGAAATCCCGTCACTATAAAAGAAGAAGGCCGTCCTTCAAGATAATGCAACTATCCAGTCCAGGCACTGGTGTGTCATTTTGGCACGAACTAACGATGCTTGCTACCTGGTCCTTGAAATGGAATGTGCTCTTCAGCGGATATAATTGAGTGTGACAAGTGCGTTTGGAATGAGTAGTATTTCAGCAAAAAAGACGACATATGAATATACTGTTAGCCTTAACAAACACAGGTTTAAGACCTTTTCAACTTTATTGAAACCCACGGGCACAAGTATGATGCTTACAAAGTGAGTGAGTTAATATTTATCGTCACATCGGCTATATTTCAGCCATATCGTGACGAGAACATTTTATAATTATATTAAAGATGCATAAAGTTAGAAATTAATAAAACCTGTTCACGAAGAACAGTAAAACTACTAGTGTATCACAGATATTCATTTAAAACTAGCAATTAAATCTAAAATATTGGAACTATAAATGACAATACAATATAGAAACAGGCTGTAGATTGCTAACGACTGAAAGTAGATCACCATACTAGGGACCATGGGGGACGTACAGTAATTTTGCTTCCTGCATGGACCCGAGCTGGATTTACACCATCCCTTCAGCTGTCAGCAAAGTTAGACAATTTAGCCATAAGTTAAAATAACACATATTCTACGGTTAAAAATAATGGTATGTTTTAATTTACTTTGAATGTTTTGGTACTTACGTACCCCCACAGGAGGACAAATTTTTACAATGCTTCAACCCCCTGTGAGCTAGGATACAGCCACTAACAATCTCAGCTGCTCAACTAAACTACCAATTTTACAATATTTATCTATTTACAATTCATTCAACAAATCTAATTATTTTTAAAATGCAATAATTAAATGAGGACTGACATTACTAAAAAGATCCTTCATAGTTTGTGATTTGAAATAGATACCCCTTGTGATGGAATATTCAACACAGGATGCTTACAAAGCTAGAAATAAAATAGAATATTAAAGATTCGTAACTTGACATGCTTATGACGAGGCAGGTCGTTTCTTCTTTGTCACAGGATCGTCAGTAATTAACTTTCTTACTAAACTGACGAGCAAAGCAGACTTAATATCACTTTTTTCATGTTTGGTGTCCAGATGAAAGTATGTAGTATCCAAAACAATGAACTGTAGTTGTGCTTAGTCAACACTCAAAGAATCCTTCAGCGGGTGTGTATGTTTTGAAATAAAGTTTGATTTAAAACGTTTAAAAATTTAAGTGTATGTTTTTGGCATGAGATACATGCTGGCAGTACTACATATGTCTTATCTTTGAAAACATGAAACGTTTCTAAAATTGTTTACCTCCGTCATCAGCAAGCAAATTAAGTTTACAGAACAGTGCCCCAACACAGAAGAATGGGGTTTTCAATTCTAACGACCGTTTTTTTTAAATTACTTAAAAACGAATTTCTTTTGTCTCCCACAGCATTTGTTAAACATACCTGCCTCCAGTGCTATAGCTGGTCCGAATAACACCACGCCCATGTAGAATATCTGGAATTAAGTAATGGTGTAAAACTGCGTGAGATGTCTGTTAGTAAAGCATCAGTAGCGTTACGAATTATCGTAACTATTTTGTTTCTCATAAGCTAAGCACTTTCGGGACCCTACTATATAATCGGCCTGTAAACAATGGAGAATGGACCAGACAAACAGGTGGTCAATGTTATTAACAACATCCAATCCCGTCGAGTACGATGACAGACAACCATGACACTACAAAATCCAGAGCCCGTCTACCAGCAAAATCCTGAGCCTCCCTGCGTGCAAAATCAAGATCCTCCTTACCTGCAAACTTCAGAGCCCTTCTACCTTAAAATTCCATACAATGACTAGTCGTGTAAACTCAAGCGCCTGTCTAAAATCAAAATCCATAGCCTGTCTACCTGGATAGTCTACCTGCAAAATCAAGGGACTCCCTACTAGCAAGTTCAAGAGCCTTCCCATCTGATCCATGTAGTGATTATTTGATTGGCTTACTATAATCCCGATTGCGGTGGAGTGAGATGGGTTTATCATGGGCTATTCAACCCAAAGTGAGACATAATCACACTATTACCACTTTGTTGACATTAAGGCGTTTATGCATGATATTAATGTAGCAACTATCACATTCAGATTAAATTCGGGGTTCGATCCTATGATTATTGAATGCCAACACATCAACGTTACTATTAGGATCTTGATTTTGACAAAGAATGTTCGTGAGCTACATCGTTTATCCAGAAACTAGCGTTCCCAGTTGATCTATTGCAATACGTATGCAGGCGTACTTACGTATGACAGGGCGCCTAGGGTGGTTCCCAGTTGACGCACCGTGCGTGACTTAAAGCGCCCATCCAAGTACTGTAAATATAGTATATCATTGCCCTGAGCTTCTGGATTAAATAAAAAACAAAATTAATACAATTGTACTTATCCATCAAACATTCTTATGTTACTAGATGTACATATGAGTAGTCTTTAGTAAAAGGGTAGGTGAGTGAATGTATGAGTGAGTGAGGCGTGTTATGAGTGTGCTTTTTTGTAATTTGTAATAGCACATTGATTAAGTGATAGTTATTATGGGTCACAATGTTTAAAGTTTTGAGTGTGGGTTTTGGCTGGCATCTTGCATCATATATGTTCAATAGCAATAGTATTTTTTAGCGGTACGCCTTTTGAGATAGCGCTTCAGAATTACCTGCCCTTGGCAATCTTTTGTTTTGACTTCCGGCTTTCATCATGCCGAGAGAATAATGATGGCGCCAAGCTTTGTTAAAATGCTCAAGACACCCGTGAAGAGCCACCTCCTCGTTGTGGGTGCTGGGTAACGCTAAGAGCTCTTCTTATGTTTGCACAATACATTATCATTGGGTCTTGGTTATTTTGATCTACAATGTACTAATTTTTGATTAAATTAAATTGCCTACAGTCCTATGCCAGAAGGCGGTGGCTCATGGGCCAATCTGGGGGTATTAGACCTCTGAAATCTGTGACTATACAAGTAACTATAATACATATATATCTTTATTTACAAATGGGTTCAAGGATGATGGCGCGGTTGCTTGTGCCACTGTCATTGGGTCCAGAACAATATCTTCCCGATTGCCAAATAACAGCTCGATTTTAACACCGAAGCTAAAGCAATATTTAACAAATACCGTAAATATAAACAATACATAATCTTTTCCGATTCTCTTTCGTGCCTTCGGGTCATGCATGTCTTGTTTGACTGTGTTGAATATTCCATCACAAGGGATAACTATTTTAAATCTCGAACTATGAAGGATCTCTTTAATAGTATCAGTTCTCATTGAATTATTGCATTTTTAAAAGAATTAGATTTTTTAAATGATTTGTAAATAGATAAATATTTATGATTGAAAGTTTGAATTAGTAACTAAGAGTTAGTGGCTGTATCCTCGAGGGGGTTAAAGTATATTGTAAAATTATTGTCCTCCTGAGAGGCTACGTAAAAACCAGAACATTCAAGGTAAATTTCAATTTTCCATTTATAATTGTAGAATATGTGTAATTTTAATGTATGGCTAAATGTATCGAAATTGCTGACAGCTGATGAGATGATGTAAATTCAGCTAGGGCCCATGCAGGAAGCAAGTGTACTGCAGGTCCCCTGGTCCCTAATATGGTGATCTACCTTCAGTTGTTGGCAATCTATAGCTGGTTTTTATATTGTATTGTCATTTATAGGTAAAATGTTTTAGATTTAATTACTAGTCTTAAATTTATTCCTGTGATAATCTAGTTGTTTTACTGTCCTTATCGACAGGTGTTTTATAATGTAATTGTGTTTATTGTTAATTTATAACTTTTTAAGTCACAATATGGCTGAAATATTGCCGATGTGACTATAAATTTTAACTCACTCACTCACTCATCCACTCACTAGAATGCGAAAGAACCGTTTAAGAGCTGTATAAAGGATGGTTGTTGATTCTAGAAACTTTTCTCTGCTGTTCGTGTTTTATTTCGAAATCGATATGTCTTAATAATGCTCCAGTATTCTAAACCTTTGATAAATATATTTCAATTGACATTTAGGAATCGCAGATGTTATCATGTCCCTGGAATAGGTAATTACAATATTTTTTCGAAATAATAACTCCAAATACAGGAACACAATTGTCAATAAATGGTCAAATATTAGTATTCACATTGTCTGAAAAAATCGTTTAGATTTACTACGTGTACTGTCCATGAACTAATTCTGTCAGAATTTACTGTTCTGTAAAGTTCATAAGTAGAGTTACCTTACTGTACTGTAAAACATTTAGAATGAGACGCTTCAGAGTTTGGAATAAAGAGAAGATTTTTTATTTTCCGTTACTTATATATACACAGAGACAATCGAAACACAATCCCTTTATTCCGATATGTAGATGTCACGGCGGTCTGTATATTATCTTATCTGGACCAGACAATTCAGTGGTCAGCAGCATGAGCATCGACCTACGATGTTGGTGTACGATGACACGTGTCAACGTAGTCAGTGAGCCTGACGGGTGGGACAATAAAACATGTTTAAAACGAAAGAATGATCGAAGCAAGAAACGGAAACAAAGCAATCATGACATGTTATTAGTTGGGTTGATCGTACAACAAACACAACCCTTTATGTCCTGGAATTCCCTCTCAGGACGAATGGATGCTACTTACATGCATACATCTGACCCTCTTACTGGTTACTACAAGATCGAATCTTGCAGGAAATCGATAACAGATACAGAAGGAAAGGCACAGTGACATGTAATGGGCTAGTTTCCACATTTTTCTTGCCTTTTTACAAGCACTGGCTCCCGCAAACCCATTCTGTCCTTACTCCCCACTGAAGACACACTAATGCTAATCTGAACCTACCTCGTAAGCGCTGGTGATTTTCAGGGGATGGATCAGTGGTATCATCAACACCCTGCAGATCAGAAATGCCGCCATAAATCCGAACAGAGCTATAAAAAGTTGCGCCCCATACACATATACTTCAGCTGGATAGCCCAACATCATGATGGACGACTCAAACGACACCATAAGCGACACGGCGACGGGGAGAAACTTCATCGCACGGCCGCCGACCAGAAACTCGGACGTTGTTCGCTGACGTCCACCAGACAGAGCAAAGTAGAGTCCTATCCCCAGTGAGATGAGGATGGTGGCGCCGAAGACCACGTAGTCGACGATGTGGAAGCTGTGGCGGCTGACCATTGTTATTCGATTTCTGTTCCTATCGTACCAAATGAACCTTTGCAAGGAAGAATGCCTTGATGCTTATGGTAAGTTCCGTGCTTTTTCAGTTCTTTTTTTATGCGTAGGGAAATATTCGGATGCCAAGGAAATTCTTAGAACGAGAAGTAAGGTCTTGTGACTTGACAGAAAGTCACTCGTTGCTTTAAAAACATTTAGTACGCACGGCAAGACCTTGGGACGTCTATGAAAGTATTGGGTTGTCTTGAAATGTCTTTGAATATCTATAAAGGTCTTCGGATGCGAGGGAAACAATTTAGTGTTAAGATGTTACTACAACCGTGTGGGCTTCTTTGAGTTGAGAACACTCTTGTCAAGTCTTTACGACGTCGTTCCTTCGATGCTGCCTTGTCGAAGATGCAATTGTCACTCTCACGCCGGACTGAGAGGGGCGCCTGGAAGCATTCTGTAGGGAATAAAACACAAATGTTTCGACATCAGTGTGCACAGTATACTCGTCATTCAAAGACTAGGGTGAATGCGGATGCATACGGTTTAGACGTTTAAGTGCGGGTTACTGGCCGCCCAAAGAAAGTAATCGGGGATTCGAAGCCATGATGAGCAAATCCTGCTTTCGTTAAGGGACGCAACTCTAAACAGGATAATGTACGACATTCCACCATTGACACCCGATATGGTAAGGATAATATGACTATGAAGATCATTAAAAAGGTATCCAATATTTGCATACAAATATTCCCAGGATATACATCTATGGTAGCATGGGTACAATGTGTTAAGCCCATTTTTCCTGTCCCCCACCGTGATATTGCTGGAATGTTGCTAAAAAGCGGCGTAAAACCCAACTCACTCACTCACCCTATGGTAGCACTGTAAAATATATTCAAATGACATAGACATGCATCCGTTTTTCCACACCAACCGTAATTCTGCACCAAATGGAAATTGAATAAATATGTCGACACATATGTGATAATGTTGAAAACAAAGACTAGGTATTCATTAAAACGGTACCAAGGTGTGATAATTCAACACACGGGGTAAAGCATTGTAACGCCGAACAGCAAAACAGATTTTATAAATTGTAAAGCCGATCACAGATACCCAAACACTTCCAAACTAGCTCGGAAATGCTGTAAATCTTCCAAGCAAGTTCGCATGAAGTCGATCAAACACCACTCTTGTTCCAATGATGGGCGTTCCTCTAAACGTCCCTGGTAATCCAAAGTACGCACAGTCAATACATTGTATATAGCAATGCCAAACAAAGTCTGGGCCTAGCTTGGAAAGGACTTCCAGCCATGTATGTACTCCCTTAACATCTCAAAATACCTCATTCCTTGCTTATTTGTATTTTGAACGTCCTCACAAATACATGGGATTGAATTACGTCAAAACATGTGCAGCGAAAAAAAACCCGAGAATTTCTTAAACAATCCCAATGTAATCTTCTATGAAAAGTCTGATTGATAGACAGAAATATTGTTGACTGGTTTCATGTGTAATAACTATTAATGACAATGAGATAAATGTCATGAAGTAACAACGAAACCAATTGAATAGTTTACATTCAAATGAAATCATATTATATCCCTTCTGGCAGAAGGTAAAATGCATTTTTTAATATTACCGAAATAAGGGACAAAATGAAAATGCATGTTGTTTAATAACTCAAATTCCTGAAAGGTGCAAATGATATAAATATCTATAAATTCAAAACCTGTCTGTGTTTTCATAATAGTAATTATCTTTTTAAATTCACATAATGTCTGTATTTTATAAAGTGAATATTTTCAAACGTCAAATGGAATATTTACAATATCAGACATCTAAGGTTAATATACAGCACCAAAGGTATAGCTAAATAAGGCAGACGTAACAACGATGTACTACCTGTCTCCACGTGGGTTTTCCTGACAAATGCGTCACATACCTTCGACGCCTCATTTGACTATACTGTTTCGTCATTGTGGGTTGAATGGACTGTTTGCCCTATGAATCTATTGAGCGACGGTAGCGTCACTCTCTCACATTTCAGATGGGGAATACAGAGAATAGGTCATGAGGCATTACCGTGACTGTACATGTCTTATACATGTTACGCTTAAAATGCCCTTTGCTTTAGTTGAACACAAGTCCAGCCTGGTTTCGCGTAGTGCGTGATGCGTAGTGTACGGGTTGTGCGTAAACAATACTTTTTCCTAAAATAGTAATAGCCGTTTCCATGCAGGCGTGCTGCATGCTGCCTGGTGCATGATTTCACTTACGCTGAAAAATTGTCCGAATACGCATCACGCATCTATACGGAAGCCGGAAGTAGGGATTCCAAAGGGGTTTCCCAGTGTCACGTGGTTTTCATTGCACAAACAAGTTGCCAAATGTCAAGGAATTCTGTACCCGAGATACTCCTTGAACAATTAATTGAACTCGTTAGATTCAGTCCAGCCATCTACGATGCACCCAGGAAGGACCACAAGGATGTTACGAAGATACGCAATATTTGGAACGGAATTACAAGATAAGAAAACTCTTAGAGGCAATCAACATCAAACGACTCAACTCGATAATCAACAGTGATCAAGGTTATTTCATCCCTACAGCTTACGATCAACTAATCAAGCCTAATCAAGAATAACCCACCCTTTGACTATCTGGCTTCAATTATGTTTGTATCACAACAAGCCTCACTATGTTAACACACTGTACATCAACCTCTTCTATATATAAAGACTGACTGACTGACTGAATTTGGTTTTACGCCGCTTTTAGCAATATTCCAGCAACATCACGGCTGGGAACACCAGAAATGGGCTTCACACATTGTGCCCCTGTGGGGATTCGAACCGGGTCTTCGGCGTGACGAGCCAACGCTTTAACCATTAGGCTACCCCACCGCCCCTATATATAAAGAACCCAAATACCCGCCATGTATATATTTTTCCTTGTGCATATGTTGTGTATCAGTTGCTTGATAACGGTATTAGTGAGTGAGTAAGTGAGTTAAATGTAACGTCACATAGGCAATATTTCAACTAGTGACGAGAACGGGTTTGCATACACAATTAAGATAAGTTGTTAAATAATCAGTCATCGAAGGACTGAAATAACGGAGTATCACAGATAATGTGTAAAACTAGCATGGAATTTTAAAACTATTATATTTACGAAGACAATACAATACAAAAACAGGCTATAGGTCGCCAACAACCGATGGTAAATCACCATACTAGGATCCATGGGGACTTACAGTGCTTTTGCTGATAACGGTGTTAGGATTTACACCGAAACCTCGCGTCCATTGCAATAAAGAAGTTGTCTAGCCATTAAAGGAAACTTCAGGAAAACGATGACCAAGAAAGGGCTGGCATTTGGAATATATATATCTTCATATCATGTTAAGTCTACAGCGTTCTTTGAGAAACAAGCTGGCATTGTTGACAGCAGGTGTGATCAGTACGATCTCCAGGAAAAGAACGACTTGATTTAACGCATCACATTGCCTTTATACACGTACGCACACTGCACACACGTAATACGCATCACGCAATTACGTAGACAATATGTACACATGGAAACCTAGCTTCCTACTGTTTTGGGAATGAAGATTATTGCCTAAAGGAGATATCGTATAGCCTGTCGTACAGTCCCTGAACCACATATTTTATCTTTCACCAACACTTTTTGCAATGCAAGCCCTTAATCTCATATTGCACTTGGGCTCCTTTTCAGCTTAAATGGAATTATTTGTTTCTATAACAACAATGTAGATGTTAAGAGACTAGGCCTTTTTCTAGGATACTTTAAGCTTAATTTCTCTCTTAACTCGCCAACCAAAGGCACTGCACACCACAACTCGTATAATAACTCAATACCCGTGATATAGCTTTGTATATTTGCCTGCCACAGAGTCAGTTAATGTTCATAGTCATATGACCTGTAAAGGTTTGAACTGGTTTAAAATCCGATAAACGAGACCTGATAGTCAGGCATCATGCGACGATGTCGTATTGGCCACACTAGATGTACTCATGAATACCTGTTAACAAGTGAGGATCCTCCGTTGTGTATCCCTTGTGATGAGACAATCACGGTCAAGCATGTCCTGCTTGACTGTGTTGATTTTTCCATCACAAGGGATAAATATTTCAGTGTTAAAACGGCTAAAGGTATTTTTAGTAATGTTAATTATTGAGTGTTTAAAAGAAATGGAACTGACTGATAAAGTTTGATTGATATCATTTGTAGATATTTTTTAATGATTGGAAGTTAAAATTAGTAACTTAGATTGTTAGTGGCTGTGCCCTCAAAGGGGGTTAAAGTATCGTAAAATTATTGTTCTCCTGAGAGGATACGTAAGTCCCGAAACTTTCAAAGTAAATTTAAAATTTACCAGGATTTTAAGCGTAGGATTTTTGTTATTTTCAATTATGGCTAAATTTCACTACAGTCGCCAGCGGTTGAAAGGATGGTGTAAATCCAACTAGGGCCCATGTAGCTACGTAGCAAAGGTACTGTAAGTCCCCATGGTCCCTAGTACGGTGATCAACCTTCAGTTGTTGGTGATCTATAGCCCGATTTTTTTATTGTATTGCTGTCTCTAGTGATGTATTTGTATGATAGCATACTATTTTTTACATATATATCTGTGATAGTCTAGTATTTTTACTGTCCTTCTATGACAGGTTTTTACGTTCTAAAATTATTGATTTTAATATTGATATAAATTGAATTGTTCTCGTTACGATATGGCTGCAATATTGTCGCTGTGACGCTAACTATTAACTCACTCACTCACTTTGAATACATGTAATTGGATAATACTCATGCACAACGCACCCAACACTACACCACTCAATACAGCATGCGAGGAGACATGCTCACAAGTGTAGTCAATCTGAAACAGAAAATTTAGAAAGTTCAAATTTAATAAGTAAAAATCTTACCGTACATTGACGCAGCTACATTGACGAAATGTGACGTCGACCTGACTGTCTTCCGTATAAAGATGGTGCTTACTTGAGTGAATACACAATCATTGGCTTGTGTAAATAAACCATAAGTATTACTGAACCACAGGGTGATATGTGACTGTAATACCTGTTCTACAGTATGATTCTTGTAGCTTTGGTTAAACTTATCTCGACAGAATTACATAATTGAATATGACCGAGTCATTCTTGATAAAGGAGTGTGTGGTACGTGTGGTTTCAGATGTTTGAGTGGATGACATGGCGATAGAGACTGATAAAGGTATTACCATCTTAAATAGGTTTGCTAAACTCTATCTAGACAACACAACAAGAGATAACGCCGTGCCTTAAGTATGGTCATGTTATAGATTTGACCCTCAGCATGCTTAATATACTGCAACGTGCTGTGTTTTTAACAACTTGATTCCGAATATATTAGAAGCATGAGTGTATGAATAAGTGAGTGAGTTAATATTTATCGTCACATCGGCAATATTCCATATCGTGACGAGAACAATTGATTGGTACATATAGTAAATAATAGTAAATTATAAAAGCCTGCCTACGAAGGACAGTAAAATAACTAGATTATCACAGAGAATAATTTAAAACTAGTAATTAAATCTAAAACAGTTTGACTATAGTTGACAATACAATATAAAACCTGGCTATAGATTGCCACCAACTGAAGGTAGATCACCATACTAGGGACCATGGGGGCTTACAGTACTTTTGCTTCCTGCATGGACCCTAGCTGGATTTACACCGTCCCTCAGCTATTAGCAATTTTGGATATTCAAGCCACAAATTAAAAGAACATATATTCTACGATTAAAAATAACAGTAGATTTAAATTTACACTGAATGCTTTGGGACTTACGTACCCTCTCAGGAGGACAATAATTTTACGCTACTTCAACCCCCTTTGGGGGCACAGCCACTAACAATCTCAGTTACTAATCTAAACTACCAATAATAAAATATATATCTATTTACAAATCACTTAACAAATCTAATTCTTTTAAAAATACAATAACTAAATGAGAGCTGATATTATTAAAAAGATCCTTCATAGTGTTTACTTTGAAATAGTTATCCCTTGTGATGGAATATTCAATGCAATCAAGCAAGACATGCTTGACTGTGATTCTTTCATCACAAGGGATGCAAAACGGAGGATCTTCGCCTTTCAATAAATATTCATGAGTATATCTAGTATGGCCAATGCGACATCGCCGAATAATGACCTCTTCAAATCTGGACTGACAACCCAAGTAGGTGTAACCAATGTAGGGTTTTATTGCATGTAATTTATTAATACCTACTTGGGTGTCCCACTTCTTCTGCATCAGATCACGGATGTAGGTTCTAATGCTAGCTTTGTAATCAGAATATGGGATAAGAAGTGGTGTCACAGATTTGTTGAGTGCTGCCTTAGCAGCACGATCAGCCAGTGTATTCCCAGAAATGCCAACGTGGCTGGGTAACCAACAAAAGACGATGTCGCATTGGCCAGTAGCAAGCTCATTATACAATTCAATGATTTCTAATAAAAGTGGATGTTTGTAAGAAAGATTTTTAATAGCCTGAAGACAAGAAAGAGAATCGGAAAAGATGATGTAATGTTTATACTTACGGTGTCTATTAATATATCTAAGAGCTGTTAATATGGCGTTAGCTTCTCCTGTGAAAATGGAGCTGTTATTTGGTAGCCGAGAAGATATTGTTCGGGAGCCAATTACAGTGGCACATGCCACCGCGCCACCATCCTTGGACACATCTGTAAATAAGGATTTGTATGTATGATATTTACTTTTTAATTGATTATATTCTTGTTTATATTGTAATTCATTAGTTTCTGCTTTCTTAAACTTTGTCAGTGTGAGGTCAACTTGTGGTCTTACTAATTGCCAAGGCGGAGAAGAAGGAAGACGGTAAGGAGCTATATTATCTAGCTCAATGCCAGATTCAGAAAGGAATGGTTTTATTCTTATTCCTAACGGTGGAATAAGAGAAGATTTTTTATTATACAGATCCTCATAAAGAGGATTGAATACACTGGTATAAGCAAGGTTGGATTCATTAGAATAAAGTTTTGTGATATACTGCAAAGACAATTTGATGCGGCGATGTTGTAAAGATGGCTCATCAGCTTCGACATAAAGACTGTCAATAGGAGAAGTTCGGAAAGATCCAAGACATAGTCTCAGACCTTGATGGTGGACAGAATCAAGAAGTTGAAGGCTGCTTTTTGCAGGCGCCACCATAGACGATGGATCCATAATCCAGTTTCGAACGTATAAGTGCTCGGTACAGTTGGAGGAGGGTTTTTCTGATCCCCTCCCCATTTTGTATTAGAGACAACTTTCAGCAAATCAAGGGCCTTCAGGCATTTATTTTTTAAATATTTAATATGCGGTCGGAAGGTCAAGTGCTCATCAAAAATTAAACCCAAGAATTTCGCTTCTTTTACTACCTTAATAGGAGTGTCATCTAAATATAAATCTGGATCTTTGTGAGGCTTGTATTTTCGGCAAAAATGGATACAATTAGTTTTTGACTTTGAAAATTTAAAGCCATTTTCCAAACACCATTGATCGATCTTGTTTAAACAAAGCTGTAGTTGCCTTTCAATAGTATGCATGTTTTTCCCACGGCAAGATATATTAAAATCATCCACGAAAAGTGATCCATCAATCGAATCATTTAAAACACTTGCCAAACTGTTTATTTTAATGCTAAATAGAGTGACAGACAAAATACTGCCTTGTGGGACACCCTGGTCCTGATTGTAATGGTCAGACAGGGTAGATCCCACGCGGACTTGAAACTGTCTGTCATTTAAAAAGTTGGATATGAACTGAGGTAAACGACCTCTCAATCCAAAACCATGTAAATCTTTTAAAATGCCATATTTCCATGTTGTGTCATATGCTTTTTCGAGATCAAAAAAGATAGACACTGCATGCTGTTTATTGATTAAAGCGTTTTTCACAAATGCTTCCAAACGTACTAAGTGATCGATGGTACTTCTGTTTTTGCGGAAACCACATTGAACATCTGTGAGTAGGTTATTAGTTTCTAAGTACCAAACGAGACGATTATTAATCATGCGTTCCATGGTCTTGCAAACGCAGCTTGTCAAAGAAATAGGTCGATAATTCGAAGGATCGGTATGATCACGTCCAGGTTTAGGTATGGGGACAATAATAGCATCACGCCATGAGGAAGGAAACTTTCCAGACGTCCAAATGTCATCAAAAATATTCAAAAGGGTTTCTAAACATGATTCCGGTAAGTGCTTCAGGAGTTGATAACGGATGTTATCAGCTCCTGTAGCAGTATCGTGGGCCTGGTCAGGAGCAGTATGGAGCTCATGAATCGAAAATATTTCATTGTAATCTTCCCCATTATCTGAATTGAAATTAATAGATTTCCGTTCTTTCTGTTGTTGATACTTTTGAAATTTAGGTACATAATTAGAGGAGGAAGAATGTTTAGCCAGTGTCTCACCAAGCTTATTTGCAATATCCGATTTATCAGTCAATAACTGATTCCTATCTTTCAGATGTTGAATGCTAGATCTACAGCCCTTACCCTTGCTTTTCTGGATCATATTCCATACCTTCGAAATCGGCGTACGTGCATGTATTTTAGATACATAGTTTCGCCAAGATTGACGTTTATTTTGCTTAAAAGTACGCCTTGCTTTAGCATTTAAAATTTTAAATTTGTTCAAATTATGGACCATGGGATGGCGACGGAAATAATGCTCAGCCTTTTTCCGCGCCTTACGAGCCTCTTTGCAGTTATCATTAAACCACGGTTTGCGTACGTGAGGAATTACAGAGGACTTTGGGATACACTCGTCAGCTATGTTATGCAATTCATCAAAAAAGCATTTTATGGCATCAGGGACATTAATGAAAATTTCAGGTCTAAGCTTGTCAGTACAGAGAGTTTCAAATAAGTGCCAACTGGCCCTTTTAAAATTCCATCTCGACACTTGAGGAACATCAGATGGATGCACGGGTTCTAGTATTGTAGGGAAATGGTCACTTCCACAGAGGTCGTCGTGGACTGACCATTCAAATTCATTCAATAGGTTGGGGTCAGTAATTGACAAATCAAGAGCTGAATATGTTCCTGTGTCAGGATGTAAATATGTATTGGAACCATTATTATAAATGCATAAATTGTTATTCATAATGAAATCCTCCAGAATTTTGCCTTTAGCGTTTGTTGTTGCACTACCCCAGAGTGGATTGTGTCCGTTTAAATCGCCCATGATTATACATGGTTTAGGCAATTCATCGTACAGAGCTTGGAGTTCTGCTAGTTGGACAGTTGATGAAGGCGGAGTGTACAAAGAGCACAAAGTAACTGCAACATGTAAAGTGAGTCGTACTGCAACGGCCTGCAGATTTGTTTTAAGTATAACGGGGCTGTGGGTTACATCATTCTTAACAAGGATTGACGATCCTCCAGTGGCCCTGTCCCCTGGAGGAGAAAAATAGTGATATGCCCTATACTGACGCAAGGCAAAATGATCTGTCTGCTTCAGATATGTCTCTTGTAAGCAGAATGCTGACAGTTTAAAATCTTGGACTAAAAGATGTTAATCATTCAAATTCGTCCTGAGTCCTCTGCAATTCCATTGTACTAGAGGTGAAGAAACTATCTCTTCGGGGGATTAACAGGAGAACGACCCCTCACTTTTCTCGAGGGTGACAAGCTATGCGACCGAAAATGGCTGCTTTCAGACACATCCATGTCCTCGAGTGATCCAAACTTATTAAACAGTTGGACCTGGTTACTGGACCCTTTGGGGGATCGTCCACTAAGGTTCTTCTTTGTAGGTTCAGCTTTAGATTTGGATTTAGTGTTTGCAAGTTGTTTCACATTAGTGTCAGATTTGGGTAATTGAGTTGATTGTGATAATGATTGCACCTGAGGTAAAGATGAATCCTTATCACAAAACGCCTGAGACTGAATGATTGTTTGACTTGAAGGAATGGTTTGTGAGCAAGAGCTCTGTCGAGGAGGCCTCACTTGAACTGCCGTAGATACCAAAGTAGGCGCAGATGTCTTTGTCCACGTGTAATCAGTCTGGCAAGTAATTGTCTGAAGAGATACATGTTTTGTCTTCGGCTTTGAAAGTCGTACAGAGGCCGTAGTGGCATAACTAGATCCTGGCTGTTCTTGAGCAAGAACACTCTTCCTTGCTTCCAGAAAACTTACATTACGGTCATGCTTTATTCGAGAGATTTTCGACTGAAATTTCCATGTAGGACATTCCTTTGACGAGGACGGATGACTACCTGAGCAGTTGACACAAGAAGGAGGATTGGTACATGACTTGCCATCCTCGCATGCTCCACCACATCGATGACAAGCGGCTGCATTACGGCATGACTTAGATCCGTGTCCAAACTTCTGACAACTGTAACATCTCAGGGGATTCGGGATGAAAGCATCAACCCGTAAGTTACAGTAGCCAGCTTTAAGTGATTCAGGACGAGCAGGAAGACCAAATGTAAATAGATAAGTGTTTGTCTTGATGGTTTCATTGTCTCTCTTCATTGTAAAACGTTTTACGTCAGTGACATTTTGTGATTTTAATTCTGCAACAATTTCAGCTTTGGTCATGTCCGAGAGACAACGTATTACATCTCGCACAATCCCCTTGCTGCTGTTTAAAGTCCTGTGAGGAGAAACTTGCACAGGAACATTTGCTAAAGATTTAGTTGAAAGGAGAATCTGTGATTGAATGTGTTTCTTGCACTCAATCAAAAGACAGCCTGCACGTAACATTTTAACTTCTTTAACTTCTCCAGCTAAACCTTCAATACCCTTTGCAATGGCAAAAGGATTCAGCTTTAGAGCAGATCCATCAGTGGAAGACATGACTAGAAATCTAGACCAGTGATCAGAGTTGATTTTTTGTATTGAAGGATCATCATCCTCCGAAGAGGCTGAATCTTCTGGTTCATGAGTACGTTTTTTGTAAGGGGGTGCCATGTTAGTGTGAGTTATGTTTCATCCACCTGGCTCCCCACCCACCATGGAGTGTCAACAAGGACGATGCCTTACATCTGTGGATCTCCAACAGATGGCACCAAGGATACCAGGTGGATATACTCAAGCAGAAACATATCTTGAAAAGACATATCCTACTAGATTGGCCCATGAGCCATCGCCTTCTGGGTATTAGGACTCTAGGCAAAATAATTAATTGATTTTGAACATTTTGCAAAATTATAATATGGAAAGTAATTGATGCCAAGACAGTTCCTTGAAGCGAAAATAATAAAAGTAGTTCAAGTGATATAAAGTACTATTTCAAATACACAGGGCTTGGCATGACCAGCCGATTGATTGAACCAGGCCCATTCAACCACCCGTCTAGGTGAAGTCAGGGGCGAAGTGGTGTATTGGGCAAAGGAACACTGTTCCTGGAACCAGTGCCCTCAACCACCAGACTCCCGTCCTCCACCGACACAGGGGCGCAACCCACGGCAAACGGGTTGGTGGACCAAATATCCCCCCGGGTCCACAACGAGGGGTCGAAGAGCTTTTGGCGTTACCCAGCACCCACCACGAGGAGGTGGCTCTTCACGGGTGCCAGTGTATGAATGAATATGAAATAGTGAGGATACAAAGTGCTCACAAAAAGGTGAGCATGTCAAGCGCCGGTAGTACCGTCACAAACACATTTAGTGATGATGATGATATTTTTACAGACCACATGAATGATGATGATGATGATGATGATGATGATTTGGAGATTTAACTTGCTCTTTCCGACATAAATCATAATTCGCACACGGGCCCTCGAGGGAATTAAGTGAGTGAGTTCAGTTTTACATCGCTTGTAGCAAAATTCCAGCAATATCACGGCGGGGAACACCAGAAATGGGCTACACACATTGTACCCATGTGGGGAATCGAACCTGGGTCTTCGGCGTGACGAGCGAACGCTTTAACCACTAGGCTAGCCCACCGATCCAGGGCATTAAGTGTTTGATCGAAAAAGGGGTGATTTCACCGAAAGATATGGCAACCTGAAAGGGGCGTTAAGGTTGCATACTTAACTTTGTATGAATTTTGAATTTGGTAATTTGCCAGAGGTGGTAAGGGGAGCCGAACTCCAAGTGTATGTCACAAGTGTTTTTATACCCTCTACCGTAATGAAAAAATAATAATTAAAGACAAAATAGTTGAAAATATGATTACGATAACAAATACTCCCGCTAAAACCACAAAAGAAGATGCATTTTACAAAGTAAATATTATTTTCACCATTGTGTTAAATGCGATCTCATTCATTCACATCACAAAGCTCTATTCCATCTGCAGGCCATGCATTAATAGTTGTCGACAGCATGTGCTTGGAATACATTACGTCATCGGCTTGCTGATGTATATTAATGTGTAAACACACAAATTACGAGCTATTGTGACGTTATGTCTCACATCCATAATCGGGGTCAAGGCCAGCGAGGCACGTGGCCATGGATTTCTTTGGTGTGAATGTCCCATTGATAAACTGATTCTCACAGTAATGTAACTGAAGACAGAGATGTTGACTTCAAGTTGTGTATCTGACCTTGTGACGTTGTGACGGTTTGGTACAGGTGCTAGCAGCCTGTGTACGTGACGTCGTTTGGAGTGTATAATGCTCTGCTCTTATCCGGACCTCCCGCCACACACATAATTGTTTTAATAAAGTTGATTTTTCCTTATTGACTGCCGCCGTTCAAACTTACCCCCACAATTGTGAATAAACCACGAGAAAATCTGTTTCAGATCTATTGGGATAGATGCGATGATATTTGCATAAATTTGCTAAATAACTAGTCAGGCCCTACCTCAGTTGATGAGTAATGTAAGGTGATATGAGGTAAATTGGGTTTAACGTCGTGATTGAGAATATTTCACTCATATGACGACGTGCATGCGCGTGTATGTGTATGTGCGGCTGCTTGTACTAGCCCAGACTGAAGCTGGTTTTATAGTGCTAGCCTACTGAGATACCATGCCGCAGTGAAGCATGAATACCCCACTCGGACACAATATACTGACTCCGAGCCGACCAGTCCTTGATGTACCCATTAATGCCGAGCGCCAGGCAGGGTCCAACAAGTACCATATTTGAACGTCTTTTGGTATGACGCGGTCTTGCATCGAACCCGCGACCTTCCGCTCTCCGAGTAATGCAAGAACGGTTCAAGCAGAAGCACAGACTGAATGCAAATAATGTAAATAATAATACGGAATTGGCTTGGACGCTGCTTTCTACATTTACATGTACTAGCGGTATTTCTTCGAAATGCTGAAATGTGTATGTCATGATAATTATGTACTCTTTTGATGATGAAATACTGCATTGTATATCCCAACATCTAATAATCGATATTTCCCTAGAGCGAACTAACAAGTAGAAAATCACTTAAAGAGACATGTGAGTGAGTGAGTTTAGTTTTACGCCGCACTCAGCAATATTCCAGCTGTATGGCGGCGGTCTCTAAATAATCGAGTCTGGACCAGAAAATCCAGTGATCATCAGCATGAGCATCGATCTGCGCAATTGGGAACCGATGACATGTGTCAACCAAGTCAGCGAGCCTGACCACCCGATCCCGTTAGTCGCCTTTTACGACAAGCATAGTGCCTTTTATGACAAGAATGGGTTGCTGAAGACCTATTCTACCCCGGATCTTCACGGGTCTGGGAGACACATGATTAAGCCGCCGTTTTTTAATTATCCCGCGTAATCATCCAATACCAGTTAGCGTCAGTGACCATATAAACTGGGCCCTGGACCACCGAGAGAGGATCTCGTTGACTTAGGGGGGAATCCCAATATTATTGAATGCTTACGTTTGATTGGATGAAGCTAACGGAGACCTTTCACCTTGTAAATTCATGTTTAAATGTATACATGTCATTATGGAGTTTGTATCTAGCAAATACGTGTACGTTATAGTTTTGCAATACTGAAATTTCGAGTTCTCAAAACAGCGACGACCAATATTTTCCAGGCAACTTCATATATTGCTACAACAATTAGAGGGGAGGTGCAGGCGTTGGGAGCATTTCCTCCTAACCTTCGCACCCCCCTTCTCCAAAATCCTGGATCCGCCCCTGCTTTCGTAATTGAATTGTCATCGTCAATTACCATGCCCAACTTGACTGACTAGAAGCTATATACCACTAATATGTTGTATTGCTGAGTTGAGGGCCTCCTTGACAAGAAGGGCATGTATGTTAATAAACTTATATAGCGAGAGGCATTTTAGAAGTTGTAAAGATGAAGGAAAACCAAGTTCTATGGATAGTCAACTTCTTTATTGCAATGAGTGCGACGTTTCGGCGAATAGCCCGTTTGATTTCATTTGAGACGGATGAATTGCTCACAAACACAAAATCTAATAATTGCAACAAAACCAAATTTTACACAGTCACATGAAATCGACAGACCAATTTAGATGATTTGTCTCATAATTTTGGACACCCGATTGTTGTTTAACAAACTATCATTATTTTGTTGTCACTTTTCGCTATTTGTTACGATGGGGGACCACCTGTTGGTAGAACAGCCAGGTGTGCGAGTTGCACGTGTGAAATTAAAATTTCACTACACACGCTTGTTGATTGCCTGGCTGTTCTACCAACAAGAGGTTCCCCCTCGTTCTCTTAGAGGTTTCGATCTATATTAGGCTTTTAGGTTAGTCTTAAGAGTAACTCTCAGAAATATTCGTAACTAAGGACTTTCGGAACTCTCCTTGGCAAAAAGATGAAAAAAGTCACAAGGGAAAAACCCGCGTTTATTTTTAGCACGACAAAGGCGAAAGTGCGACGTCGCAAACCCGTTATGTCCAGTTTACGACAAGAAGACGGTATATTTCCGGTTTTTTGTTTTGATTTGTTACAGATGCTGTGCGACGTCTTTGCCTCTGATGAATACATTTCCGAGTGTTTTACTGGGGTAAGTACATTATTTACGTTTATTGTTAAGCGAGCTATCTGTCCAGTAAAGCCAGTGGTCAAGGATGCACGCGCTGTAGGTACTGAATCAGACGACCATTAATCGATCAGTCCTGTCAGTTACGTTATCAGTATCATGGCTCTGCAACAAGAAAAAAAAGTGGAAACAACAGGAAACCTAATTGGACAAATGACGAAAATTTGTTACTTGTCCTATGAGTTGACAGTCACAAGAATGTTTTGCGGGGAAAATTTTCCGAGGTTTCATCCGAGACAAAAAGGGCAACTTGGCAAAACATTGCCACACAACTATCTGTTTCGCTTCCACATGTTAAAAACCTGCCAAGGAATGTGAAAAGAAATGGTACAGTGTATTATCGAAATCAAGACAAGAGATATCTGCCTACAAGAGACAGTTAACAGGAACAGGTTAAAACACAAAGGTTATGATAAAAGATATACAGGCATAACTGAAAAAAATAGTCATTAGGGCTCCTTGCCTCTTGGCAGGAGACCTATTGTAATTGTTCGGATTATTTGTATTATGGTAAGGCTCATATCAGCTCATTTTTATTATTGTTATTCTTTATTATTATTCCGACGGATTTTGTACCAGCCCTACAAAGAGCATTAGTTGACAGAATCGCCTGAAAAAATGACCTAGATGCCCACTGAGGTGTAGATATTCCCCATTAAAATCTCAAGGCTCTAGGCCTAATAGCAACGGGCAGATTATTCAAAATTAATTTTAAAACTTCAATTTCAACAGCCAATATCTGCACAACTACTGATCCAATGGCTACCAAAGTTCTGGCTACCAAAATGTCTATAATTTCGCCTAACGGGTCGAGTCGCTAAAATGCACCGTTTGGCCGCTATTTTGGATTGAAGTTGTTGGTGGTGTTTTTCAGCAAAATCCTGACTACTTTCCTCCCAAAATGTGCTGCACTGAAATTACGAGAGTGAGTTAAAATTTATCGTCACATCGGCAATATTTCAGCCATATCGTGACGAGAACATTTTACATTGAA